GCAATGAGCATAAGTTTTTTTTGATGCCTAATAAGTTTTTTTGATGCCTAATAAGTTTGTTTTTGATGCCTAATAAGTCTCTTTTTTTTTGATGCCTATCCCAGATGGCAGCCCCATGCCCTTCCCAAACCCCTTGATGCAGTGTGCAATCGACTTGTTTGGTGCGAGCACGTCTCTCACAGCAACTTCCTTACAATTGACTGCTTCTGTGAGTTGCTTGACCCATAGCGAAGGAGGCCTGGCTTCGCGGTCCTGGCCGAAGAGCACCATGCCAAAGTGAACGTTCAGGCTCACATAGCTGGAAACCTCAGCGAAAGCGAGGCTGATTCACTTGAGTTTCGGGCAGCTTCACGACAAAAACGAGATGTTGTACCTGAGAAGCTACAAAGCAACCACGGCAGAAGAAGTTACAGCGATGCGTTTCTTGAGGCGTATCCCGACAAGCAAGTAATTCAATAGAAAGGTCAATACAAAGGAATAAGATGGAATGAGAAGGCCAGTAGAAACGTGTCCATACTTCTTCTTTTCTATCAGCCTTCTCATCCCTTTCTATACTTCTTCTTCCTTTCTATAAGCCTGGTCAGTTCTATTCCTTTCTATAGTGCTTCTTGTTTGCCTCTTGTCGGGAAAATGGTGACCTTTTTTGGAGCTTGGTTCCTGCCATGATGTCAAATACCGCCTGGTACCGCCGTTCCCAGTAGAGTGGTACCGAACGTACTTAAACGAAATGAACGAGTACTGTACAAGTGAACATCAGGCATCCACACCTAGGATTGCAGAGACAGTCAGTGTATTCCACACTAACACGACAGCAACCATCATGAATCGTGAGGATCGAAAGGGCTATGCCCTTCCTTCTCAGGCGTGATGCCGCACGCTTCAAAACCTTTTGGACCTGCCCAGGATTCTTGGCAGCGGCCGGGCCAGCCTTCATGGAACGCTGTCTGGCCGGAGATGTCTTAACCTGTCTGCAGGAGTTGCAGAAGAAGTGATAATCACTTCTTGAGCTGCTTGACTGGAGTTGTGATTCAGTCAATTTGGTGCAGCCGGCTTTGCAGTTTCTTTCATCTTCAGAGCTGGCGTCAACATCATGCCATCTGATGCCTCAAGGACAAGGCTTCAAACTTACAGTCGGACGAAGTGGTTCCATCAACGTGCACCTTCGGCCTGCGGGCATGGTGGACCCGGTGGACCCGGGAGTCAGAGGTGATGTATTGCATGAGTGTTCTCAGCCACAGGATCACCCTGACCGGCAACTTTGGGCAAGGCTTCCAAAGCACGCCACTTGCACCCGGTACTTCCAATCAAAGCCTTTCAGTAAGACAAAGTGCGGCATTAGCACCATGACTTCCCCATCTCAACAAATATCCCACAACATCCTGTTGACTCCACTCATAGTGCTTTGCACACTTGCATTGAGGGCAAAGCGAGAGTGGCCAAAAAACTATGCAATAAATCACTGCCAACACTTGAGCCAAATAATAAACCTCTCCAGCTGCCACGCCATGCTTCAGCGGCACAGGACCTTTGCTGCTGCCTTACATGGGGTACAAGGGACAAAAGGTCCACTTTGCACAACCTACAGGTGCTCCGTGAATAACAAAGGCTTTCAAATAACAAACGCTCCCCCCGCAAGAAACCTGCGCAAACCGTGCATCAGCGGACATGGCAATCACAATTCCAAGTGCAAACGAAGATCTGCCTGAAATCAGCGAAACGCGCCCCAGGCTCAGGGTGGAGAAAAGTCAGCCGTGGAAGTCTATACGGCTATACCCGATATCAACGCTACGAGCACTCCACGCTCCACTCAGAGCCCTCTCCATGAAGGAGATACCAGTGCGGAAGCATGAACCGAATCGATTGTTGCCAGACTTCCGAAAAACGGATGTCCGATTTCCACGCAGTTGTCCCTCTGCGCGTGTGCCTCACTGGGCCCAGGCTCGGGCGCGCGCGGGCCCGCGCTGAGCCCCGGGCGTTGCTCTGCAGCGCCGCGGCGAAGAGCTGCAGCTGGCGCCGCTGCGGCGGCGGCACCGTGAAGTCCAGCGCCAGCAGCAGGTCGCCTCGGCTTCGAACGCCCGAAGCTTTCGAATCTTCCACAATCATGGATCTGCCAGGTTTGTGCCCCGAGCCCGGTGGATTCAAAAACGAAGCGACCCCTGTTTCTTGAACAGTAGCAATGGGCCTCGGAGGGCTGGCAATGTCGGACGTGAAACGGCGAACCTCGATGGGTTTCCTAGCTCAGGAAATGGGCAGCGTGGGCGAAATCGAACCTCAGACTTCGGCTTTCGAAGGGAGCCCTCCCAACCCCGTCGCACCATCGCCACCATCTCTGCGAGTGACCCCACAAGGTGGTGGTCTCTGTCGTGCTGGTCGTCGCAGTGCTACTTCCAGTGGCTGTCAGGGTGATGCTGGTTGTGGTTTCTGTGGTGGCGGTTCTGGTGGTGTCTGTAACAGTGCTCAAGGTGGTGCTTGTAGCGCTGTTGGTGCTGCTGGTGCCTGTAAGAGTGCTGCTTGTAAGACTGGTGCTGGTGCCCGTGAGAGTGCTGGTGGATGTATGCGTGGAGCTGGTACTGGTGGTCCTCGTGAACGTTAAGCTTGTGCTGGTGGTCTTGGTGGATGTATGCGTGGAACTGGTACTGCTGGTCACGGTGACCGTTGAGCTTGTGCTGGTGGTCAAGGTGGATGTATGCGTGGAACTGGTGCTGGTGGTCACGGTGACCGTTGAGCTTGTGCTGGTGGTCAAGGTGGATGTGTGTGTGGAACTGGTACTGGTGGTCACGGTGACCGTTGAGCTTGTGCTGGTGGTCTGTGTGACACTTGTCCATGTTCTCGTGCTGGTTGTTTTTGTGCTGGTCGTCGTTGTGTCAGTGCTGCTTGTCCAGCTCGTGGTGAATGTAAAAGTCGTGGTTAAATTATCTGTCTCATTCGACTCATTCGACGCGTTGCCGCTCTCATCGCTGTCATCGCTGACCTGGAGCCTGCGTTCAGCCTGACAGACACAACACAGGGCCTGCGCAGTAGGGCACGGCGCGACTCGCAACACAAAGTGCAAAGTGAGAAGGCCCAGCCTTCTCAGAGGCCAGCGGACCTGAGCAAAAGTGAAGCACGCCTTGACACGCTAGCGACGTAGGACCGCTAGTGACTCAATGGCGCCATCGCTCCATCTCTCAACTCAGCTAAGCGCCCGGAACTCTGCCGGGCGCCTGAGGCCTGCGGACACTCGTGCGAGCTGGGCGACATTTCGCACGCTTGCGCGACAGCAAAACAAATCACCGGAACGATGGGGACAGACGCTGGTGGTGGCAAGGCCGCGGCCTTGCTGGCCAGGTGCTCTCCTTAGAACTTGCTCTCAGATGCGGGGGTCTGACTGTCAAACACGGGGTCTGGATCTCTGGACACAGAATTAGCCCCAAGTCACGTGATAAAGCCAGCCCCTCCCCGTCACCATGGCAGCCTGATACACCGAGGCACTGCAACTTGTGCGAGCAACAGGACGACAACAGCCGGCCTCAGACAATACAACCCTCATGAGTCATTGGCAACGAGTGGCTGAGGCAGTGGAGACTTGCCTGCAAGGATTGACTTTCCCATTCCTTACCAGTACCTGTGCTTAGGTGTTGCGGTATGCAATCAGAAAACCCATCAGAAATTGGCTGCATGTTCTCGCAGATTGGTTGGGTCTAATTGGCGGAGAGTCACGGTTAGCCCCAAACCGTCCCTCTGTACCGCGCATAAGCCAAGTGGCGGGAGCAAGCAAAGCTTGCGCATGGCGTCAAATCATGCCCTCCAGATGAGCTCCAGAACGTCTTGTTCTGAAGCCACCGGTCAAGCTGTGAGCCAAAGTTACCAGCAAGGACAACTGTGCCTGACTAACAGGCAAAAGCATGCTCGAGAGGGCCATGTGTGTGTGTGTGTGTTCTTGTGTGTCTCTGAGGGGCCACAGACTCATGATTTCCTTGGCTCGCTTTGGGGGGGGCTGCATCGACCTCTGCCAACTGCAATCCTGACAGCTCGCTGAGCCCGGCTCATGATGTCGCTCACGGCGCGGAGCTTGATCTTCACGCCGGGGCCGAGCACATCCTGACAACTTTGGACAGGACGAAACTGGACACGAAACCTCGCGGAGCTGCGCGTTGAACAGACACTTCGCACCTTCAAGCCCAGCTTGAAGGTCAGGATGTCACCAAAGCGCCAGGGGCAGTCCTGCAACAGGAGCGCCAAAGAAATACAGCCTCAGCCGCGTGTCACAGTCGTCCTTGGATGCCCCTCGCGAACATGAGCCTCCTGACCAAACTTGCCGACACAAACATTGCAACGGCACGGCCCGGCCTTCCTCGTAGTCACCGAGCTCCGTCTCCTGGCTTGGCGATGCGCTCCCAACATCTCCCAAGATTATGCAATTTGGACACACACACACACACACACATGCGCGCGCACACACACACACACACACACGCGCTCGGCAGGGATGGTCAGTTGGCGCCTTGACCATGTCGCCAATGGACACCTTCGCAAGTGAGAAATGCTGCAATGCGGCTCGCACAGTTCAGTGAATTTCAAGCTCATTTGGCAGTTGAATGGTCAACCACTTTCAGTGGTTGAGGGAAGCTCAATGCCTACCAGCAAGGGGGTGCAACAAGAGCATCGTGGCTGTGCAGCACAAGCCATGCCCCAATTGGCTTGCCGCCATTTCTGCTTCTCCACGCAAGGTTTGTTTGACTGCAATCTAAGTTCTTTCTGAGAAGCCCGAAAACCGAACAAGGATTAAAGGCTGTAGAGGAAACTGGACATGCTCAACGTTCGGTGGTTCGCCTGATTGACCTCAAAGAGTCGCTTTGGACTTGTGCCAAAAGCTGGCCTCGCCTCGAGGCAGGGTCTCTGGCGTGACATCCACCCAGGCTTCGCAAGCCTGCAGCACTGAAGCGACAAAGCCTTTGGCACCAAAGGCTCCGACAGCCGCCAGCGTCACCCCAGTCAACCCCGCACTCCCAGCACTTTTTTGGATCTCTCACATACTCTCCAACGGGAACTCAGCCCGCGCCCATCCAACCCGCCGGCGGCCGCAAGGGAGGCGGGTATGGGCTGGGCGGGTAACCCCAGTGAGGTGGGGGGTGCCCAGGGTGGTGGCCAGGCGGAGCCTCCCATGCGGGCGGTCTGTTCCAGGCAGCTTCTCGCTCCTGGCGGCTGAGCTTTCTGGTCAACTTGTTGGACTCGAGTCAGCGGTTGTAACTTGGGAAGTTCATGTGGTTGAGTCGGTTAAACTGCATCTCCTTTGGATTGTCAAGAGTACATCCATACTACTTTTTCGCTTTTTGTGGCACCATACGTTTGGCCACGACTTTTTGCGCCTCCCGAGTCTCCCGGGGCTCACTGCGCTTCCGCCGCCGGGGCTGCCGTCGCCGGGAACGTGACCGCGAGCGAGACGGCGAGCGCTTCTTCTCGGGCCGCTTCCGCGGCTTCTCCTGGCCAGTGGGAACTAAATGGCGCGCGCACACGAGCGCGTGCAAGACTCGTGCAAGACTCGTGCAAGCCAGCCTGTTTAGTGCTTGATTGTTTGATTGTATGCTTGTACGTTTGTTCGCTCTACTTGTGTATGTGCTCGTGCGCATTGTGGGCCGCTTTGGCTTCCTTCCCTCCCCGTCCTTTTCGATCGGCTTTTCTGGCTCTGGCAAAGCCTTCGCCTTGACTTTCTCTATCTCGATCGCATCCGGGAGCTTCCCATTCTCCAGGATGTCGTCCACCGCCCGCCGGACGATCTCCGTCTGCTCCTGGGTCACCAAGTCCCCCTCCACCTTGGCAAATGGATTGCGTGTGCCACATGTTGCGCTACACAGCGCTCGCAATATCGAACACCTATCGAACCCAGCATACCATTGTGATCCCATTCTGTTTATGAGGTGCTGCAGAGCCTTCGCCCCCCCAACCCCCCCTCACCCCTGGCAATCAATTTTGCCACTCCAATGCTTCCCTTGGCTCCCCCAAAACTGCTCCGGCTCCTCCACTGTGGGTTGCTTTGATCTCAAGTTTGATGTCCACAGAACCAATCAGGGGAACTCACAATACCGAGCACTGCGGACAAAAAAAAAACAAAAAAAAAGCGTTCGACTGGGTCCGCGCCTTGGGCTTCACGATGAGGTGCAGCGGCTCCTGCTCCACGCCCGGGGCGCCCAGGCCCCGCAGCAGCAAGCGGCAGCTCGCCTTCTTCATGATGGCCCGGACGTTCGACGCCCCAGGCCCTCGCCGACGAAGCGAAAAACAACTCTGGAGGCCTAAGAAGTTTGGGGCGAGTGGACAGCGAGGGGCCGCGTTGAGCGAACTGGGGAACCCAAAATTCGAGAGGCCAAGCAGGTCTTTGGGGCGACCCAGCCATGATGCGTTGCCTCACAGATCTTTCCCTCTCCGGGGCAAAAGAGAAAATGGATCCAGAAGAAACCAAAGAAGTAAGGACAGGCTCAGAAACTGGTTGCGAATCGACCACGCCTAAAATCCCAGTGTAGGCTGCCTTCTGCTTGGCCTCCTCACTGTCGCCCTGGAACTTTTCGATCGGAATGTGAACCCTCACCACCAGATCCCTTGGATCCACGGGCTTCTCCTTCTCCTCATCCCGGGGGTGACGGATCTCTGACTGCGCGTGCGCGTAGGGGCAGTCGCCCCTGGGGCACGCCATTCCCTTGAAGACCTCGTAGCAAGGCCGGGTCTTAAAACGCTCCGGCGCCCGATGGAAGTCATCCACTTCGGGAGTAGTCGGAGCATTCTCTCCCCAGCGAAGTCGAAGCTTCCTACTTTTGATTTCGACGCCATCTACCTTCTTGATGGCCTCCAAAGCACCTCACACATCAAGCAATGCCATCAATGCCCAAATTCGTGTGCATACCATGCATACCCAAGCAACGCACTGTGCCAAGCCATGAGAAGCCAAGCTCCAGACCTTCCGGAGTCTTGAACTCGGCAAAGCCGAATCCTCTAGAGACACCGTCCTTTTGCACTGAAAGCCTCCATGATACCATGCCATCGATCTCCCCAAACAGCTCTCGCACCTGAGACGCATGCCACAAATTGTCAAACGTCTTTCATTCGCCTCACATGGAATGCCCATGTTCAGCCAAGCCAACAAAGCCTTAGATCCAATGAGTTTCCGCTCGAGCCTCCTCCTCTGTAGTGTCAAAGGAGATATTGCCCACAAAGACTGGCCACACATCTTTCCTTCTGGGCGGGTCCTTCTTCTTCTCCGTCTGTGGCTTCACGACCAGCAAGGGGGGCAAATGGCCCATAGGCAACAGCCCCGGGATGCTGGGCATGCCGGGCATTGGCATGCTCATGCCGGGCATGGAGGGCATGCCCATGAGCAGATTCATGGGAACTCCCGGGCCTCCGACCCCTGGGGGTGGCGGCACCATGGGCATGCCTGGCGGCACCGGCGGCAGGCCGAACGGCAAGCCCGGCGGCATCGGCGGCATGCCCGGCATGCCCCCCGGAGGCCCTGGCAGCGTCGGCAGCGTCCCTGGCAGCGTGAAGGGCGCGGGCACGGTGCCCATGGCACCGGGCAAGGTGCCCATTAGCTCAGGCGGCGCATTGGGTAGGGGCAGACTCGGCGCGCCCGGGGGAGCGGACATGACTGAGGCACAGTGGCTGCAGACCATCCGCTTCAGTCATATCCACAGCTCAGCTCTAGCGGCTCTCCGCAGATGGCACAAAATCTGGGCTCCGGTCGCTGGCGCAGAGGCAGCGACAATTCGCACGGACAGCCTGGCAAGCGCCAAAATGAAGGCCGCAAGTCTTCGGTCCCAAGCAACACGAGGACTGCAAACGCAATAAGCCGACCATCAGACTGCCTAAGCGGGTCTCGCCTGAAGCTCGCAGTTTCAGTGGTGCGCCGCAACCTGAATAAAAATGCGAATGATTTCATACTGCTTATGAAATGTGGCTTCACTTCTCGGAAGTGGACCCAAGCTCCAACTGAGGCCCGGTGCTTTGGCAGCTTCATCTCGTCCCAGGTCTGCCTAACATCTCGCTGACACTAACCCAACTGCGGACCACTCCCATCGCCTCATGAGTATACCACCCCCGAAGGCTGCGGCTACATTCAGCATGCTCCTTGCCTGATCAGCAGATTTTGCGATATGCGAGATGACGAGTTCGGCTGTGAACAGAACACGCTAAGCTACGCCCTGCAGCTCAGTCTGGCAACCGGCGCCGCGTTCCGCGGAGCCACGTCTCTCCTTTGACACCCATGAAGGCCTATTTTCTGGACCCATCAAGCTGAAAACCGGAAAAAAAGAAAAAAGGGGGAGGGGGAAACAAAAACTAAAGATTGGCAGCGCAAAAGGGGCTCGAACTTTCTTTGACCAAGGAAAACACACGAAAAAGCAAAGCTGCGCCTGCCGTCGGTGCCAGTCGGGTCGTCACGGCACGAGGCAGCCAAAACGGTGGAGTCAAAATGTCCTCCTTTTCAGGTGCTTTGCTTTTCGTGCTTCTTAATGTTTCTTCTCCTCTTCTGCAATGAGATTCAGCCCTGCGCAAGTGAAGGCGCGGGATGAAACCCACTTGTGTGCGCATTCGGGGCGATTGGAGCGGGTCCTTGAGCCACGCTCCTAGGTTTCGTAGCTAGGCTTCCAGCACATGCTCTAAATTCGACGCCCGGCTGTCTGCCCACTTCACAAACATTTCGCCAGCCCCTTTGCTCGAACATTGCCAAGCCGAAGCCCCAGGAGCCTTTCGCCGATCCACCGCCACGAAGCACCTAGCGCCCCACTTCACGCGCATGCAAACGGACGGGTGACACTCGCCGTGAACTCATGAGCTTCAACCTGGGCTCGTGAAGCCTTGGTTGGGATCGGATTGGGTTCGAATGGCTTTCAGGACTTCGGTGCGTCGGGTCGGGTTTGAACAGTTTTCGAGTTCGAGGGGTCGGGGCCGCTTTGCCTCTGAAGGGACAGGATGAAGGTGTGTTTGGTTTCTCTGCAAAGGTGGAGCAGCTTTGTCTTTTGACACTTTTGTGCTTTTGCGGCATCGGTTAACTCCAAGCCTTGAGGCCAAAGACGCAGGGAAGGCATCGAGTCATTTTCACAAACAGCCACGATGAGTTTTCTGAAAACTTATGACGAATGAGATATGAAAGGCATGCGTGCCCCGTCCCTTTTCCGCTACTTTCTCTCAGTGCCTTAGCCGAACAGCGTATCCTCTCTGAGCTACCCGCATTTTGTCCACGCGAGCCACCTTCAGGAGGCTCGGGCGCCTGGAATGAAAGTGGACTTGCGAACCTTTTCCCGAAGGACTTGAACAAATTTATGGCGGAAATGGCGTCCGTGCGAATGATCTCAATTACGTCAAGTGCGTTGAGGTCTTGGCGTGGCAAGCGGCTCGAGGTTGCGCATGGGATACCTACGGGCTGTCTCAGCGCAAGTCTTCCTTACGCAAGTGTCAGCTGATCCGAGCGCACACGTAGAAGCATGACCTCAGCTTCTTTCACACGCCAATAGCTAATTCCAAGACCACTGAACCCTTGTCCAGCCTGCCAAACGTACACTCATCAAAATTACAGCAGCCTCGACCCAAACAGCAAAAAAACAAACGCGAAGTGACGACGGCCGTGACGGCGTGACTGCATCTATCATCCGTTAGAGACTCAGAGACACGGGGAGACAAGTGGGAGACACGACCTGGAGCCAGGTCAGGTGATCAGAGAGACCGGACGACGCGTGCAAATAAGCGAGCGCTAGACACGACCTTCGAGCCGGCGTCACAGCATCTGAATCTGGCATCTGACCGGACAGACTCCCAGACACAAGCAAAGAAGCGGGAGTAGGCCCCAGCAGCCGGCGTCACTGCAAGACAACTGGAAAACACTACCCCGGAGCTCGGGTCACACTTTCCCATTCTTTAAACCTCGACTTAGAATCCGTGTTTTGCTGTTTGGGAAAAATGAAGAACAAGCGTGCATGCAACAAAAAGAAAGTGTTGCAAGGTGGCCCAACCAGGTTGCCAAGGTATAAGAATTGTTTGGTCGGAAGGCAAATTTCAGGCGAGCGGCCCGTGCACCGTGTCGTTGGGACTCTCTAGGAGTAGCGGCAGGTGCTTGCGAGACTCGGTGGCTGCGAATGCCGCGAATGCCGGAAAGGACCCCCAACCATGTCTGGCACCCGAAGTGACCCGAGCAGAACCAGTCAGGTCTTCCTTTGGAAACACCAATTCTAAACGCCAACCTGGTCCTTGCAGCTCATTTGGGGATTTGTCAGACTAGGGACTCCTCCGATTTATCCAGCTTCCCACAGTATGACCCAGCTGCGAGCCCGCACCATGAGCGTGCCGAAGCCATCGTGTATCCGGAAGAAGGGTGCAATGCCTCTCCAAGAAGCGAAAAGGCAGAAAAAGCACGACACGTCGGGCATGTGTGTGTGTGTGCGCCGAATCTACTTGAGACCGGCCCCGCATAAGCCTCATAGATTTTGACTGTCGGGGATCCAGCGACCCAGCATTCGGCTCAGACAGCATTAAGATAAAAACGCCTTTGGCGTGACCACACCGATGCCTTCAGCACCAGCGATGAAACCTTGACAAGATATGGAGACCTAGTCGTCAACGCACTCAGAAACCACGCCTCCAACAAAGGTCCCCGTTGTCTCAATACTGTAAGAAGAGCCGCTGTCAAAATGCCGGCTCCACAAACCCAGGGGATTGACTCCTCCGTTGCAGTTGTTGCGTTGGAAATCGCCCACCTCCTCGCGATGCCAGCCATCTGCGCCCAGCACATCATCAACGCCCGCATTGTACTCTCCCTTCTCGACCCACACGTACAATGTGGTGGGAGCCTCATACTCAATGGTCCACGTGCCTGCTGACGGCCATGTCTGACTTCCAATATACGTCCCACCCGACAGGCAGGCGGGCACATGCTCGAAGATATAGTTTCGCTGACCGGGGTTGGTCAGCGTGCCCTCGGTCATGGTCTTGGGGGGGTTCCAAGCGATATCGAGACCTGAGCAGGCGAGCACTTTGCCAAGGTTCACAGCCGGGCCGTCGCCGCCTGCTTCGTTGGCTTCGTTGGACCCTGGGGTCGGCAGCTTTGGTGGAGCGTGGCCTCCCACCAAGCCGCCCACAATGGGCGCAGTGCAGCGGATGGAAAAGTATTTGCCCTCCGTGAAAGTGTAGCTCAGCACGATCAGCTCATAGCCGTCGCTGCTTTGAAAGCCCTCTGCCGGCTCCTGAGTCCATCCTTGGGTGGGGAGGACCAGCTCCACTGAGTTTGTTGAGCCCACCATCAGCCAGACGTACATCGGCACCGGCGGGACGTACTCAATCGTCCACATGCCTGCCGATGCCTCGCCCTTGATCCCAAAGTAGGTTTTGCCCTTGAGGTAGAAAGGCACGTTCTTGAAGGTAGCGCTTTCACCTCCGAATGAAGCTTCAAGGAATTTCAATTCGACGTTGGGACATCGGCACTCTGCCCCCACCTAGAAAATGCCCCAACGGACATGGAAACCCGCAAGCCATCCCATCCTGTACACTCCAAAACCCTCCTGCTCGAGTGTCCCATGGCCTGGCTTCAAGGCAACGCCCTCGTCCATCAGCGTTGGTTGAGTCCACTCCTCGCATAAGCCTTCGCAGCCGACCACTTCACCCGTGAGCTCAACATCATCCTCAGGGGTCCCACTTCAACAGGACAAAGCGAAAAGCCGCAAAGCCGCAAAGCCGCAAAGGCAACCGACGGCGAAGAATCTGATTGTTTTTTCTCTCCAGTGGCCACGCGGTTGGAGACGGTTTGTCCGAACAAGAAAATGCCCCCCCTCCTCGTCATCCTCATCAACAAAGTCGCCACCATCTTCACCATCCCCATCTTCATCCTCATCCACAAAGTCCGTGTGAAAGCCACCGCGTGCGGAGGGCATTTTGCAATTCATGGCCTTGAACTGACCCATGATGTACTGCCAATCCTCCCAATCCATCCAAAAAATGCCCTCGGTTTGGAAATCCACATGCAAAGCTTTGGCGATCTTTGGATGGTACTTCCATTCGTTGCTCCGGTCGCTCCAGGGTCCGTTCCACTCCTTGTCGTTACCCCATGGATTCCGACAGGCAACAAGCTTGAAGCCATCAATCTCAACGGCATGCAAAATGCTGTACGCATGGCGATGCACCATTCCGCAATCACTCTCATCCTTGCAGTAAGTGGCTGTGCAGGCCATCAAATAGTTGCCTTTGTCGAAGGACACAAGTTGATCCCACATCTCATCTGGGCTGAAATACCTGCTCCATTTGTAAGTGAAGCATGCCCTGGCGCCTTTGCCCTTCTTTCCCTCATCTCCACCGATGGCCTCCATGATTTGACTCGGATTGATGTTCACTTTGAAGGCCTTGAACCTGAGCGCCGCGGATGGATTGCGAAATGCAAGCCTCTGGCCCCTGGAGTAGTACATGAGCCAGCCCTCGCCGGGTCCATCCCCACTGAGCTTCTGGAACTTGATCCAGGCCCCGACTCTTTGCTTCTCGAAGAAGCGAGCGCCCTCCGCCATCACGCCAAGCTTCTGTGACCTCCTCCTGTCCGCATAGACCGGAATGCCGGCACTGGAGCTGACCTCCCATCTCACGGACACGGCATACTGTGACTGGTAGTGGAAGAATTCCTTGACGCCCGTCAAGTGGTGCCAAGCAACTGGCTGATAGCCTCCCCGCAACGCGGAGTAGCTGCCGTAGAGCTTGGCAAAGGCTTTTTCAAGCAGCGCAAAGCAGAGCTTTCCATTGTTGATCTTCCCGAAGTAGAGAGATGGCGTATACCCCGCGCCAAAGTAGGTGCAGGGCAAGTAGTCGTCAACTTCGATGCATCTCCAGCGGTAGTGGCGGCCGTCGTAGAGCTTGATGGCATACTTCCCGGTCTTGGAGACCTTTCGGGTGACGAAGACGCTGCCCTTCAGATAGGCCGGGAACTCGGCCAGGGCGGAGATGGCGGCGATGAGCCAGCAGTTGCCGACCCGGCCTTGGCAGGCGTCTGCCGGCTCCACGTCTGCGAAGAGCACCGGGTGCGGATGGAGAGCCAGGGCGCGCAGCCAGCGAGGCTTGCTGTACTTCTTGGTGCAAGACACGCCCATGGAATCCTCAAGTCAAACAACACTTCTTGCACCTGACTATACGCAAAGCAATCTCGATACTTGTGTCAAAATACTCGTTCAAACATGCTTGCCAGCTCAGCTGAGGATCTGCGTTGTGGGGGAAGTCATCGTCTTTCCATCCCTCCGGGATCTTGGGATTGAATTGCAAGCCCTCATGCATTTGGTTGGGAACCCCGTCAGTGTCCACGGCGATCACATCGATCTGCCCCCCGACGGCCTCGTCCATCCAGACCGCCTTTTCCGGGGAGGCCGCATCTGTGATCCTGGGGACATGCACTTAACACGTGAGCCGCTGCCGAGATGCCCTCATGTGCCCTCATGTGCCCTCATATGCCCTCATATGCCCTTATATGCCCTTTGAGGCACTCGGCTGAACCAATGTCCTCGAGACGTTCAGGGAGGGCTGGCCCGGCTTGACCTCGTCGCCCCTCTTCCATCGGCTTTCTAGCTCTTCGAAGAAGATGTAAGTGTCGCCCCAGTCGTCCCCCTTGGACTGCCGGTACACTGCGCGATTGCCCACGACCCCGTCGATCTTCTTGAAGTAGATCTCGTCGAACTTGACGCAATCCTCGGCGTTCATCAGCATCGCCTCCGCCGACTCTGTGGCCTCGGGGGTGCAGGTCATTGATGATTCTCGCACAAAGGCCTTCTTCTTCCCACTCCACACTGCCCACTGCACTTCCCCGGCCATGTGAGCGGCGCGTGTCGTCTTCAAACGACAAGAAGATTTGCTGCCGGTCCGCCAGTAGAGCTGCCACTGCTTCCGCTCCCCGTGGTAGTAGAGGTACTTGTTGGTCTCAGCACAGTGGAACACTGGCCTTCGGTAGTAAAATTCTCCTTCTTGCTGGGTGTAGTCACCATTGAACTCTGCTCGAGAGCAACCTGAGACCTTCAATTTGAACTTGCCCTTGAGGCCCTGGGAGATGTTCTTGTCCTCGGCAAACACCCATTTCACAAACTCCTGGATTTGCAGCTCACCGTCTCCGCTTGAATCTGCCGCTGTGAGCAGGTTGTCGATCTCGTCATCCTCCCATGGCTCCTCTTGTAGAGCTTTCAAGACATCTCCCAGCTCTTCACGCGAGATGGAGCCGGACGAGTCCTTATCAAACTTCGAGAACACATCCAGCACTGTCTTGTCCGCCATGGTGAGGGGCCCAGGTGGCTCTAGAGCCAAAGTTTCTGCTTTTTCAATATGGGCCTCACTTTGCACAGTCCTAGCAAGTTTCAGCCAATCTCCAAGCGGACAAACTAAGCCGCTAAGCTTGCCACAAGGCAGCGGGTTCTCCTGGTGTTCCTCACGCAGCAATGAGCCGACCAAAACAAGCTGCCTAAGCGCCCGGGCCGAAACCGGCAGCTTGGTTGCCTCACAGAAAAAAAACAGCCCGAGACATGGAAAGGGACATGGAAAAGCTGCACTTCTTGAAGGGAAGGGAGCAGGCAGGTGAAGCTTCAAGAACTTGAGAACGCAGGGGTTTCAGGACGAGAGTCGCAACGTGAGCCGCACCACAAGCGGCTGTTGAACACATGGAGTCCGTCCGGAATTCTTGGTAGGCCAATGGCTTCACAGGTGCAGAAGACGGCGCACGGCAATGGCCCATCGAAAGGTCGAGCGTGGAACAGCGAAGTGATGAGCCTTCGAGCACGAGCTCCGGCTGGTCAAATATCCCACCGAGGCCAGTGGAAGAACCATACGGGCCTAGGTCAACCAGGACGAGAAGGGAGAGGGTGACGCAGGGCGAACGAGAATTCCCCCTGAACCTGGGAGCCGCCACCTCCACGTCAAGGTCGTGAATCTCAGAATGGCGTCTGCGATGAGCATAAGAAGGATCGTGGCCTGAGGTGACGATGGAATTACCCGGCCCAGGCAAAAGAAAATCGATATGATCAGGTGGAAGCTGGAGGTGGGTCTAAGGTTGAGCTTCCCAAATACGCGGTGATAAGCAAAGCACGTTGAGAAGGCTCAACGAGTCGGGACAGCAGCTGAGATCAGTGCCTGGGTCGCGTCTTGATGACGGGCGATCCACGCCGAACCTGGCCTAACATGGTCCCTGGGTTCGGTGATGGGGGCGGATACCTCTAGAAATTGAATCGGTGAAGGGCAGGTAGGAAACAAGGGCATCCAGGAAGCCGACTTGGAAGCACAAATGACGCGGAACTCGCCATTGACATAGAGTGCCCATGCGGAAAAGCAAGCAAGGCGAAGCGGCTGCAGGCAAGGCCCGGAGTCAGAGAAACCACGAGACAACCAGCACGGGCGTAACTGCAAAGGCGTCAAGAAAAGGCATGGCAACATCTAATACAGCATGGTGGCAGACTGCTGCTCCAGAATGAGCAACTAGCGAAGCTCAAGACGTACTCATGAGGATGAAGGGCGGATTTCAGAATATACGAGAAGACTTTGCCGGCAACAAGCTTCCAACTCCTTGTCGCGGCCTCCCCGCGGCGACGCAGGCCAGCGCTGCTCACTTCGTCGTCCAACTCCAGGCCGACCTCTCCGGCCGAGACTCTCGGCATGCGCAACTCAAATTCGCAGATTCGCAATGCGGCGCACTGCGGCGCACGGCATGCGCCGCATATGCGCCGCATGTGAACAGATCGAGCGCCCCTTGGCTCCCAGGCCGATTGCTCGGAGGGCGCCCCCCCGAAGAGCTCCGCACCGGACCGGAGGGTGTAAAGAATGCAGAAGTGCGCCTTGCCCCGAATTTCCAACCGCGGCATAAAGGGAGCAAACGCCTTAAGAAAAAAAGGAGTCCCCAAGTCCCAGCGGTCTCTGCCTGCTTCCACACCCCCAGCTTCACATGCGCCACGTTTAGCTCTGTCACCTGGCAGCTGTGAGCATCTTTGGCAGACTTTGGCATGGCTTGCAGGACTCGAGTCCGATCCGAGGCTGCGGCAGATTTCTGCAAGGCATCGAAGCCCACGTGCAAATCCTTTGGCACTGGCTTCTTCCAAATACCTGGCTTCTGGGCTTCTGGGCTTCTGGGCTGCTGGGCTGCTGGGCTGCTGGGCTGCTGGGCTGCTGGGCTTCTGGGCTTCTGGGATTCTGGCCAATTTGGAAAGCAACATCCGAAATCCAAGCGAGCGCACGGTTGAGCGCTTCCTCGATGCTTTCGCAGCTCTGGAAGTCCCACGGACACATGGAGAATGCATCGTTGGCCTGAGTGCGAAGCGTCGTGGTGCAGTGTCGGGGGTGCAAAAGGGCGCGCCGCGAGCCTCTCTCCAGTCCTTGACCTCCATGCTGGGCGCCCAAGGCTCCTAGCCCAAAGCCCTTCAGACATGGGGTCTAAGAAGAAAGTGGGAATATTCACGCAACTCATACCTTGGAAGAACGGGAAGCCTCTGAATAATGTCTGCTAACACGTCACCCGAGTCAATTCGGATTTGGACATTGCGACTGAGATGAGACAGTTTTGAAGACAAGCTCCGGAGCTCCCTGTCAAGTCCCCTGCCTGGTTCAACGGCACAGGGTCATCTGCTGACTCGTCCTGCAGAGGCCACAGGCTGGCAGGCCATAGCATCATGCCTGGGGGACCATTGAACTGAACGAAGAACCTGCCAGTGAGCAAAGCTGTAGGAATCAATTGACCAGCCACGCCCTTGACAACTACTTGGTACTACCAAGACTCAAGCAAAATCACGGCCACGGCCGCAAGGTCGCACGCCGCCATAGCCCGTGTATCTCCCGTCCTCCAGCTTCACCTTCTGGCGTTTGCTGCCGAAGAAGATCTAGGCACGGATTGAACCGGGTCCAAGGAAAGTGACACTCTGAAATGATGAAAGGGCATCCGCCCCGCACCTACTTCCTGGAAGACCCGGTATTCACAACCGGCTCTGGGCTCAGTGCAAAGAAGGCAACTGCCAAACAGCTCAAGGCCGCTCCCAGCCTGAAACACCGCTCGAGCCAATAGACGAAATCTGTGCGAATGGCTTCTTCCGGATAGACTTGGCTCTGCACAGCACCAGGATCATGACCTGCTGAGAGCTTTTGGCATGAAATGATGTAACCACAAATGTGCGATTGTCAAGAGTCGAAACTCCTTCGGTGTAGCCTATGGCAGGATTAATGACCACACCCCCCAAGCAAAGCGGCGTTTCACCATGGCTCGCATGGCTGTGCTCTCTAGTCAAGAGCAGCCTCACAGCCGCAAACCGCGCCTCCAGCAAAGGAACCGGCTGAAAGGATGCTTGCTTTTGCGGAGCCTGTGCTTTTTTCTCGGGAATGCCTTGGTGATGGGTCGGATGTGATGTAAAGGTGGTTGAGAGGTGCACCACCAGAGAGAAATAGATGATGTGTCAATGTCAAAGTGCCGGGTGGAAGTCCCATGTCGAGTTTGCCATGCGGCCAGTGTCATCTTCGAACCTTATAGCAGCGGGCCTCACGATCTTGCATTTGACTGATTTGACTCATTTGACTCATTTGAGCTTACTGCTCACTTGCATACTACTTGCATCTGACTTACTTCGCTGAACGAGGCAATTGAGGCACTATCGCGACTCGGCCGCTCCGTCGCTTTCTCACTCAGAGCCTCAGAGCCTCAGAGCCTCAGAGCCTCAGAGCCTCAGAGCCTCAGAGCCTCAGAGCCCCAGCCAGCGATGTCTGCTGCGGTCACCAGCAGCCTAGCGCCATCCAGTGACTGAAACTCAGAACTCGGCCAAAAACTGCCGACCGAAAACATTTGACAACCTAATCGGCCACAGCCGCAGCCTAAAGCCATGCCTAAGCCATGCCTAAGCCATGCCAAAGCCATGCCAAAGCCATGCCTGCCAGGGTTGGACGGCAGCGCCACTCCAAGCGCCAGCAGCTGCGGCAGCTGCGTTGCCAGTACCGGGCCGCCAGTGCCACTGCCGCGGCCGAGGCCCACAACCAGCAACAGCGGCCTGAGCGACGCGGGATGCATGCCGACGCCTTTCAACTTTCCTGCCTTGATCCTTGCATATCCTTGCATATCCTTGCCTTGCGTGCCTTCGGAAAATGAGTCACGTTCTGAAGCGTTTGAGCTGTTGAACTGGCAGAGATTGCGCCTGGGCGAGAGCGCCCTGCTCAATAGGGCGGAGAGGCTGGCCAGGAAGGCCACTTCTAGGCACATGCCGTGCAGGTCCAGCTCACACCTGCCGTGCAGCACCGCAAGTCTCTTGTCACTCTGCTCAAGTGCCATGCAGCAATTGGGGCGGGGGGTGGGGTGGGGTGTTAGCATGAATGTCCAGCTCATTTCTTCATTCCCGTTGTGCCGAGCTGCTCCGAGAGCCACGGTTGGAAGGCGCCCTGCTCCTGCGAGTCCCATCCCTCAAGTCGTAAGCCCTCGGAAGCCCTCGGAAGCCCTCGGAAGCCCTCCCGAACCCTGCGGCATTCTGCGGCCGCGGCCGCGGATCCCCCATTGGGCTCTCGCGGACTCCTCAAGGTCTCGGTACAGCGCTAGGGCCTCCTCCAGTCGGCTGGCGCGCAGCAGCGCCCGCAGCACCCCACGCTGCAGATCGAGGTCCCCGTCATGGGCCCTATCGAGAGGCGTCCGACGCAAACTCCCGGCCCTTTCCGCTCCGTTCGGTGCCCTTAGGTGGCTTGCATGGCAAACAGGACAACGATTCTTCAGGATAAGAGTCGCCTTTGCCCAGAACCCGCATGTCAACATCTCAGGCAGACTGTCTCCAACCAGCTTGCCACAAGGATCACAAAAGAGGCACGCTGCGGAAGAGCCAAGCTTACCTCCGGACCGTACTTAGCACCTCCAAGTGGATGCTCCAGCACTGCCACCATTGCTTGCGCAGGTTCGAGGAACAGGGAAATCTTGATTCTCAGTTGCCATCCAAATCCATTCAGGTTGGAAAGTCATTCAGGTCATTCAACTACACTACAAAGAACCAGTGTCTGGCCCAAGCCCCTTGCTTACTAACCTTCATCTACCCGGGTTTTGATTGTGGCTCATGTGCTGTCGTCAACTGCCTCAAAGACTTGGAGAAACTTGGGAATCGCGGGCAAATTCAATTCCAAGTCGCTCAAATTGTGTTTGAAGTTGTGAAGTCCAAAAGGGACGCCCTCAAAACAGACAAAAGACAGACCCACATGCGCATCTTTGCGAGGCACAGCTGCAGCGCCCAGCGCCAGCAATGGTCCCCGAAGGCCTCTACCCCCGCCAGGCGCAGCAGCACGTTGGCCGAGCCTGATGGAAATTAGATGATGCAAAAGAGCTCAACTGCTCCAGTCTATGGTCTACACATGCCAGTCTACACACCCAAATCATCCCAAATCCCAAATCCAATCCCCTACCCGGGCCGGCAAAGCACTGCCATGCCGATCAAGCAGAACGAGCACTCGGCCCAGCCTCCCTTCTCCAGCTCCTCCCACAGAACCATGGCCCGCTGCCATTGGCGCGACGATGATAAGGCGGACAGCGAGGAGACGTAACCTAAACGGAAGGCTGACTCAACGAATCTGACCTCACCTCTTTGGCAACCTGAAGCTTGTCCCGCCCCGCAGTTTTTCTGTTGTATGGGGCCAAGGTGCTAAACTCGCTTCGACGAAAGCCATGCCTCAGCTCGATCGAAGGCAACGTGGCATGTTGCTCGCTCCAGCCGACCCTCTTCCCCGCCGCGGTGCTGCTCCATGTCTTGCAGCAAGACCAGGACCTGCAGGGATCGACATAAACGCAGGGAACAGCTGGGTGGGAAAACTAGAGAGCCCAATGGGAGCACGTCTGGGAAAGGTCAGAGTTGCGTTCTCTTGCTTTCTCTTCAGCGAAACGGCCCCCGCAACGAAGCCAACGGGTTTGGGCCAAGCACAGATCCGACGGGTTTCCAACGGGTTTCCGTTACGGATCTACGGATCCGCGGATCCGTTACGGCCTTGGGCCACTCGGACGCCAGGGCCACCGCGTCCAGCGCGGCATCGAAGCTCACGGCGTCGGGCGCTCGCAGCAGCTCGAGCGCCTCCGGGAAGCAGGTTGCATCGATCCATACAGTGAAATCTGCTTGTGCCCTTTCCAAAAAAATCTATGTGTTCCAACTTGAAATGTCCTAGAACATAGGGTTTGTTCAAGTTCCCATGCTTTTAAGCGAACCTCAACGGCCCAGCTCCAGGTCGGACAGCTGAGTGGACCAAGCGTGGCCCCGCCTTCTGCCACTCAGAGGACTTGCCACAGGCTGACAGCGCCGCATTGACCGCCACCGTGTCAGCACGGCAGCCCCAGGCAGGTGCCTGCAAGTTCCATGGGCGCGCACAATTTCCGGAAGGGCGGACACATGTTTCCGGAAGGCTCTCGCCTTTCAAGCGACTTAGCGACGAATCGACGGCATGTGCCGAGTCCCAGGGGCGGCTCTCAGCAGCCCGAGCGCCACTTGCCACTGGCGACCCTTCTCGCATGCAGAGATGGCGGCGCCCAGCAGAATGGCATCCACTCCTCGCAGTTCGAGGGCTGGGTCTTTCTAGCAACCTCGAAGCAATGCGAGCGCTCCTTGTTCTTTGGCTTGGGCGAAGAGCCGCAATGCTCGCCTGAGCCAGAGATCCGCACAGAAATAGGTAATAAGGGCCAGTTGCACACCAACGAAAGCATAGGGAACCCAATTTGATAAACATCTCCACATAGCCCCCAATGCCTTGACCCTGGAAGCTTGGCCACTTGCCAAAACTCAAAACAGAGCCTAGCCTACATCATCTCTGCAGCGCGTTCAGCCGAATGCCGAACTGAGAACAGCCCGCCCAAGCACAACCGTCTTCACATTCTTTAGAATCGCTTTGGGCACGGCATTCTGAACAGAGCGAAAAGGCCATTGCTCCGATTCTTGGCCAGTGGCTGCCACTGCTGGCCGCGCTCGCAGGCCGAGACGGCGGAGCTCCACGTCACCAGCCCGGGCTTCAGTCTGGCGTGCACCCGCCAACGGATCCGGAATGTTTAGACAAGTCCGAGACTTTCATCTGCCACATTGGACACATATGTGAGAGCCTCATACCCTTTGACACATCTTGTGATGTCCCTGGGCACTACGTTAGTCCAAACATGTCAAGAGCAAAACCAAGAGCAGTGCCAAGAGCGAAACCGGTAACCAGGCATCAACAGCCTTTGCGAGTCTGCAAACTGCAGCAGTGCCAAAGCAGCAGCCCACGCCGAGCCCTTGCCACAGCTGCTGATGACCTCGGCGCGGCGCTGCAGCGCAGAATGCAGACCGTTTCAAGTTAGTTTCAAGCCCTGATCGAACCAGCCCGTGGTCGCCGGGGGACACACGGGAGTGCTTCTCCTTAAAAGAAAACCAGGGAACCCAGTCATCTGCGGGGGGGGGGGGGGAGGGGGCCGCCCCATGTCCATCCAAAGCAGCAGTTGACGCCGGCAGTTTTCGCGTGAAGCCAACGGATTTCGAGGCACTCAGCTCCTCCCCTCTCTTCTCCCCCTCTCTAGCAAACTTCCTATTCACATGTTCTTCCTTCTTCCTCGTGGCCTGTCTTGGCCGGCCATACCGTTTCATCCGTTTCATGGCGTTGATGGAGGTCTTCGCCGCGGCGCGGAGTTCAGCGCCACGATGTCCAGCTGCAGCGCCCGCCTTTGCGCCTCCGCCTGCAGCGCTAGGGCCTGGCGAGTCACTCGGTGACAAACGCCTGAAGGTCACACGTCGCGGCGAACGCGAGGTGCAAAACGTGTGCAACATGTAATACAAGAACCACATGTACAACATGTACACTGAACATCGATGCACCTGGGAGTCTTTGATGGGGGGGCGGGGGCATCTGGCATAGTCACAAACCCTTCTCCTCCTGCCATCGGCTGGCTTTTTGGCACGCGGTGAGCGCGCTGGTGACCGCGATGAGGTCTGGCTCTGTGCCTGAAGAATCCAAGAGCCCAAGAACCAGGAACCAACTGTTAAGTCTTAGAGTTGCCTTGAACTACGCTACAGCACTGGCCTTTGGCAATAGCTCCTCAAAGCCAAGGCGCCGGCATCACAAATGAGCCCCATGGCTGCAGGCCAGGCAGAGGCCCGGGCGCAGGCGCCTGGCAACTCTTGCAGGTCTAAGCTTCCCCCCCCCCGCCCTCTGGATCCATCGGAACTGCAAGCATGCTGCCAGATTGCTGACAGCCGCACTGTGCGAGAACATGCAAGGCCCGAGCGAGCGCCTGAGCCACAGGCAACAGATCTCATCAGCGGACCATTCGCATGTTGCTCCGAGCTGCTGAGGCATCTGTGCCAGCAGATGCAGCGCATCCTGCCATCGCCTCTCTCGGCCGAACGCGTTGATCGCGAGCGCAAAGTGCCGCGGAGTCTCCAAGAAGGCCTCAGGCTGAGTGAGCCGACACAAGCGATGGGATAAGCCGGAACGCTTGGCGCGATGGGAACGCAAAACAACGAGTGCATTCAACCAAAGCTCCTTCTGCGAGAGACTTGCATTTATCGGGCCTTCATACCATACAACGTAAAATTACGTCAAAGCACCACAAAGTCACGAGACACAAAAAGAAAGCGACCCGAAAGCCACCCAGAGCCATCCGAGCCAAAATGTGCCCATTCAGCCCATCCAGCCCAGCGGCCATGTTACCCAAATCCGCAATGGACATGGGAATGTGAGTGAATCAAAATGAATCAAAGCTGCTTCAAGAAACTTCCTGCCTGGCTGTGCCACAGCTGCTGCAGCGCACTCCGCCGCTGCGGCGGCGTGGGCTTTTTGGAGAGCTGCGCCAGCTGCGCCAGCGCCGGGTTCCAGGCCTTCAAACCCGGATCGTTCGATCGTGAGCGCTAGAAAAGCGCAAGCCCAATGCAGACAAACAGCCGAGGCGAGCCTCAGTGAGGCTTGCAAACGGCAATCCGAGGCCCAAGGTGTCCAAAGAGTCCAAAGAGTCCAAAGAGTCCCAAGGGAAGACTTTGCCGTTACTTCAGCTGTTGCACCTCTGACTGCGCATCGCCATGCCGGCGCCATGGCACAAGGTCTTTGGTCAGGTGATTTGTGGTGAAGCCGAGGTACAAAGGGGAATCTTACCCAGAAAACAAACTCGTGCAGCTCAAGAGGCGATTAGGGCGAGCTTTCGAACCACATACACACACAGGAAAATGCCGATGCCGAGAGATGCCAAACCCTGTATCCTGACCAATTTTGGGACGACCTTCGAGGTACAGGCAGTTGCAGAGCTAGCAAAGCTGCACGAAGTCACCCCAGCACAAGCTGGCAAGACAATTTTCAGCCAAGTTCCTTTGGGCATATGCCAGAGGCTGAGAGGAAAGCATTGAGAGACCTCTTTGAGACCTCCGTATCGGGCACGACATAGGTGTTGCTCGATGTTGGACACCAAGTGGGTTTCGGTGGCTGATGCTGAAGCAACAACAGCCTTTGTCCAGATTGCAGTCATCCAACTAGCAACGCCCCAGCTTCTGCGTCCGCGGCAGGGTGACCGATTCACGATTGACATCCAAACAAAGAAATGATCAGCCTGTCACAGTTGCAGTGTGGCTGAATTCGAAACCCGCGTCCCACCTCATGCTTAAGCTCGCGCCCTCAGCATAAACATGGCGCTGCTTGCCACCAATAGCCTTGGCAATCCCGACGCGAGGCCATCGAAGGCAAGAGAATGGCGAACATGGGCCTCCCCAGACTCCCCAAAACCATCGGAAAATACCCAGGGAGATAGGGAGAGCTCTATCAGCACAAGCGCCGAAGCGCCAAAGCGCCGAAGCGCCGAAGCGCCGCAGCGAGTCAGAGATTCCATCCGAGGCACAGGAAGCCATCGGCGAGGAAGGCACTGCCCAGACCCAGATGCTCTGCCATCATCGCAGCAGTGAAGGAACTCAGCAGCATCCCGGTGTCCCCGAAGGTGTTCCACATGGAGGGCACTTTGGCGCGATCCTTCACCTGGCTTGCTATCATGGGCTTTCAGAAAGTGCCTGCGAGCGTGGGCACAGCAACCAAAATATGTCGGAATCAAACATACCGCATGCCCTGCAAAGATCAGCTGATGTGCATCTTCACTTGCATCTGTTGCCTTGTTGCAGCCAAAGCTGCTGGTGCCAGATCCATGGCGTGCATCTGTGCCTGCGCACACATGCAAGCACCGACCTGCATGGCCGCCAGCACCGGCAGCCTCGGAGATTCCAGTCCCAAGGACCCAGGGCCCGTGGTTCATGTTTGAGCTGTCCAGTGTCCAGTGCTGTCCAGTCCTCAGGTCCTCCCCTGGCAAGGCGCAGCTCTATGAGCGAGCTAACCTGCGGCAGCACCATGAGGCTGATGCCATACCTAGCGGCAACTCGACGCAGCTCTCTTAGGCCAAAGAGCGATGCTTCGATCCGGGCACAGGATGGCCCCTGGCAGCACCACGCGCATCTTGCCCAGGCGGTCGGCGCTGCGCGCCACCACTGGTGTTACAGCAAGGCTCACCTGCACGAAGAGAGCGGAATGTGGCGGAAATTGAAAACTCGCGTGCTCAGAACAGCAAGCAGCTGTAGCCATGCAGAAGGGAGGACTGCGGACTGCGTTTCATCCCATCACGAGAAAGGAAATCGCTGCCTAGAGGAATGGGCCCGAGCTTCGTCTGAAAAACCAACAACTCTACCGCGGAAGATCTGCACCATATGTCTACATTGCGAGCATTCGCATGAAACGTCTGGATGGGTATGGTGGGATAGGGTGTCGAGTGAGTGTGTGAGGCGGGGTGGCATGGGTTGAGTTGGGTGGTAAGTGGTTGGGTGAGTGAGTGAGTTAGCGGGCGGGTGAGTGCCAAGTGGGTGAGTGGGTAGCCATGTCAAAGGAGGTTGTAGCAGCCTAATCTGGGCAATTCACCATGATTCACGAATCGGAACAAACTGATTTTCCTAAGTAATGGACCGGACCCTTATCGTGGGGCTTTATCCCGGGTGAGCTTGTAACAAACTGCCTAGTGAGGCAGCCACACAACTGGAAAGTCTCAAATCCTTCTAGTGACCCAGACGAAGGACCACCATCGGTTGGGGCTGCATGCGCTCTGGGCATTCGTTAAAGCGGGTTGGACCCTTTCGGGGACCGTGTTCAAAAAACCGAAAGACAACCAACAAATTGCGGAGTTACCAGGCTTGTTTTGAGGCTTGCTTGACACAAACAAACCTATTGACCTGTGGTTGTACCCAATTTAGAAAGATTCCCCATACTCCAAATCAAATATATATATATATATATATGCATGTTTCAGGGTGGCTCTTGAAGCCAGGCTTACGGTAAATGCATCCTTCGGCCAGGGGTGATGTCACGCCCAAATAGAGAGTATTCGGAGACTGCGGGGTTGATTTCGCCCTTAAATCAGGAAGAACTGTTTTTGAGTTGGCGCCAACTTGCAGGCACTCAGCCTTCAGCTCACCTGGCAGGACCTAAAAAAACAACATTTTCACCTTTTGGTCGACCTTGTGTGCTTCCCGTTTGGTCCCATCGTACTTTTTGGTGACCAGTCAACATGGGCTGGCCGGCGTTCGTTCTTTGCCAAGTGGCCAGGGCGTTGGCCGTGGAGATGCCGCCGACCACCATGGGGCAGAGTGCCAGGTCCACGTAGATTAAGGGAACCAAAGCGATCGCCTTGGCTGTCTCAATCTTGCCCGAGCCACACCGCAGGCCACGTGTGCCTACGTGTGCCTTGCAGCTTGAGGCTCGCCCCAGAAAGCAGCATTGTAGCACCAGCCAAAGGACAAGACGTTTCTGAACTGGTGGTCCTTCAGCATGGGCCTCCAGGATTGGAGCGTGTCCACCACGCCTAGCGAGCTAGCGAGCCGCGAGCGTAATTTTGGGGCCGAAACGTGCGAAGGGGTGGAACCCCAGTGAATGGCTTGAAAATGGCTTGAAAATGGCTTGAATCCGTGAATCCCTTGCATCTCTCAAGCTCTCACTCGCCTCGGCCCTTGGACCAGGGTCTGAGTCGATGCGTCTCAGGCAGCAGCGCGAAGACGCAGCAGGCTGTTGCCAGGGAGCTGGCACCCACTCCAAGAGTCATTAGCTCCAAGCCAACACTCTCCAGCAGGTAGCCTCAGGGTCGACAATATCTCACAGTCCGCTTCCTGCCCACTTCCTGTCCGCTCTCTGCTTTGCTGTTTGGCTTTGGCAGCAGCTCTGCGCCAAGGCTCCGCCCAAAGCAGGGCCGATCAGCAAACCCGCAGACATGCCCATCTGCATGGGCGCGCGGGTGCGGGCGGAGTTCAGAGGGTGTGAGATGTCCGTGACGTACATGCCTCAGCAAGCGCTTCGCCTTTGAAACACAGAGCCTCTGCCTCCGATCGAGCCTCTGATCTCTCCGATCTCTCGGATCTCGGCCTGCCGAGGTGAAGGTGGAGGCCACCCCCAGGCCCACGGCCAGGCGAAGTATCATCAGCTGCTCGTAGCCCGAGCAGAAGGCCACGCCCGCAATGCCTTGGTTCAGAAGCGAAGCTTGCTGTCGCCCTCCCAACTCCCCGAACTCCCCGTGCCAGATCTGCAAACCAACCTTCTGCCCAGCTTCCGGTTGCGATGCACATTAGCCCACCGACCAGCAAAGGCTTCCGGCCGTAGACATCAGCCAGGATCGAGGATGGGATGTTCCCACAAAGCCTGCCAGGAAGCATGCTGCCCCGATCGCCTTTCACTTTAGGTGCCATCACTATCGCTGCCTTCCCACTCATGCACAAAGGACTTCAATTTGAACCCAGCCGAGAAAAATAGGAGAACACACCCCTAGGCACAAAAATATCCCAACTTCTTGCAAGGTCAGCTTTTCCTTCGACTGGTACTCCCATCAGCCCGCTTTCCCGAAAGCATCGCGAAGGGTTCTTCCGTGCGGAGCCCTTGGACAAGTCACATAGAGCACATAGAGCCAAGTTACATAGAGCCAAGTTACATAGAGCCAAGTTACATAGAGCCAAGTTACATAGAGCCAAGTTACATAGAGCCAAGTTACATAGAGCCAAGTTACATAGAGCCAAGTTACATAGAGCCAAGTTACATAGAGCCAAGTTACATAGAGCCAAGTTACATAGAGCCAAGTTACATAGAGCCAAGTTACATAGAGCCAAGTTACATAGAGCCAAGTTACATAGAGCCAAGTTACATAGAGCCAAGTTACATAGAGCCAAGTTACATAGAGCCAAGTTACATAGAGCCAAGTTACATAGAGCCAAGTTACATAGAGCCAAGTTACATAGAGCCAAGTTACATAGAGCCAAGTTACATAGAGCCAAGTTACATAGAGCCAAGTTACATAGAGCCAAGTTACATAGAGCCAAGTTACATAGAGCCAAGTTACATAGAGCCAAGTTACATAGAGCCAAGTTACATAGAGCCAAGTTACATAGAGCCAAGTTACATAGAGCCAAGTTACATAGAGCCAAGTTACATAGAGCCAAGTTACATAGAGCCAAGTTACATAGAGCCAAGTTACATAGAGCCAAGGTTAGGTAGAGCTTAGAGCTTCGGCGTTAGCAGCTATGTAAGTTAGTTTAGGTTTCTAAGGCGCCGGGGCGGGAGTTTGATCGTCGCTCGGGATTGCGACCCTCTGCGGAGATTCGCGTGGTCGAGGTTCAAAAACTGGGGACTTTTTATGATTTTTAGCATGCCCGCGCGACCCTCTGCGGAGATTCGTGTGGTCGAGGTCAAAAAACTGTGGACTTTTTACGATTTTTAGCATGCGTGCGCAACCCTCTGCGGAGATTCGCGTGGTCGAGGTCAAAAAACTGGGACTTTTTACGATTTCTGCTGGCCGCGCGCGACCCTCTGCGGAGATTCGCGTGGTCGAGGTTCAAAAACTAAGGCTATTTCGTTGCATTCAGGTGCCATAACATTCCATTCGGGTGTCATGGGCCTAGCAGCGATAGAACTGCTGCCACTTCAGCGTCAGGGGGGGGTGGTCTATGGCAGAGAAGAGGCTTGCGCCCAACATTTGCATTTAGTCAAGTTCTTGGAGTTATTTTACTCCCTGACCCTCTGAGGTATTTTCGGTCTGTTCAAGTTCAGAAGATGTGACAAGTCAATGTCTGCCCTCGGCCGGTTTATCGGGCCTTAAAACGCGAACTATGTTGCAGCGCATCACCGACTTGCTAGTTGTATGAATCGCCCTATACTTTCTGAAAACCTGAGACTGCTGGGGGTGAGGGTTTGGCAGGACCGTCGTCCTCAGGGCAGCCCCCAAACAACTTGTGGAAGGTCGCAAAGTTACTGGGTGCTGCGGTTTCTCTCAGACTAGGTTAGTTTCTGGGGGAATTTCCTTTTTGCTGGTGGAATTTCTTACTTGGTAGCCAGGGGTTGGGGAAGTACAGGGGTATATTCCTTTGAGGAAGCCGGGGGTTGGGGGCGGTGGTTTTGCGAAACAGTCGCCCTTACGGGATCGCGGTTTGAGGGAAGCCGAGGGTGACCCATATTAGGTAATCGTGGCTTTTTCACCAAAATGTTAGTGGTTGTGTTTTTTGACGCTTTCAAAGGGACGTGGTGGTTTTGCGAAACCGTCGTCCCCGGCCCCCCACCAAAACCGTCGTCCCCGGCCCCCCACCAAAACCATCGCCCCCGCACCCCCTCATCCTCTCACCCTTGACCCCGTTGTGATACTCGTTCCCCTGTTTAATCCTCGCGTGACACATGATGCTCCCTATAGCCATTTGGTGTAACACCTGATTGCAATGATGTAACCCCCGAATACAACGAAATTGACTTAACTGTGGACTTTTTACGATTTCTGCGGTGCGCGCGCAACCCACTGCGGCGATTCGCGTGGTCGAGGTCAAAAAAACTGTGGACTTTTTACGATTTCTGCGGTGCGCGCGCAACCCACTGCGGCGATTCGCGTCGTCGAGGTCAAAAAAACTGTGGACTTTTTACGATTTTTAGCATGCGCGCGCGACCCTCTGCGGAGATTCGCGTGGTCGAGGTTCAAAACTGGGGACTTTTTACGATTTTTAGCATGCCCGCGCGACCCTCTGCGGAGATTCGTGTGGTCGAGGTTAAAAAATTGAGGACTTTTTACGATTTCTGCTGGCCGCGCGCGACCCTCTGCGGAGATTCGCGTGGTCGAGGTTCAAAAACTGGGGACTTTTTACGATTTCTGCGGTGCGCGCGCGACCCTCTGCGGAGATTCGCGTGGTCGAGGCTCAACAACTGAGGACTTTTTACGATTTCTGCTGGCCGCGCGCGACCCTCTGCGGAGATCGTGCGCGTCGAAGCGCTCTCGCTGTGGCGCCGTGAATATTCTTGCTCGCGAAACGGCCTTTGGAAGTTGTCTCGTGGCTTGCGCGCCTGCTTTCGCAATCCCGCGGTCGCGGGTTCGATTCCCCCCTGGTCCGCGGCAGCTCCGGCTTGAAAATCGCAGCTTTTAAGTACAAACGTAGTACGCGGAGCGTGCTCCTGCAGCTCCGGCTGGAAAATCGTAACTTTTAAGTACAGACGTAGTGCGCGGAGCGTGCTCCCGCAGCTCAGGCTGGAAAATCGCAACTTTTAAGCGCAAACGTTGTACGCGGAGCACATTCCCGCAGCTCCGGCTGGACAATCGCAACTTTTAAGTACAAAAATAGTACGCGAAGTACATTCCCACAGCTCCGGCAGCACTTGCGCAGAGCAACTTGCGCAGAGTCACTTGCGCAGAGCAACTTGCGCTCTGCGAATTGCACAGAGCACTTGCACACAGCACTTGCGCAGAGCAACTTGCACAGACCAACTTGCACAGAGCCAATGCGCAAAGCGCTCGCATGGAGCAACTGGCGCAGAGCACTTGCGCAGAGCAACTTGCTCAGAGCACTTGCGCAGAGCAACCTTCACAGAGCACTTGCGTGCAGCAGCGTGCAGAGAGCAACTTGCCCGAAAGCAGCCTGAAACAATGCAGCTTGCGCAGACCACTTTCGTGAGAAATCATGCAGCGCAACTTGAGCAAAGCACATTGCGCTGAGCAGACTCGCGCAGAGCCACGCTCTATAGAGCCAAGTTGCGCAGAGCCACTCGCGTAAAGTAGCTTGCGCGCGCCAGGTAGCAGCGCGCCAAGTTGCGCAGAGCCATCTTGCGCAGAGCTAAGTTACACGAGCCTGCTTTGCAGAAACATACGCTTCATTGCTGGAGCACGAAGACGCCACAGCATTGTGTCTGACTCGGGCAGGAGCCGGTTGCTATTGGCTTGCTTTCCCGAAAGCATCGCGAATCGCGAAGGGTTCTTCCGTGCGGAGCCCTTGGACAAGTTACATAGAGCGAAGTTACATAGAGCCAAGTGACATGCAGCCAAGTGACATAGAGCCAAGTTACATAGAGCCAAGTTACATAGAGCCAAGTGACATAGAGCCAAGTTACATAGAGCCAAGTTACATAGAGCCAAGTTACATAGAGCCAAGTTACATAGAGCCAAGTTACATAGAGCCAAGTTACATAGAGCCAAGTTACATAGAGCCAAGTTACATAGAGCCAAGTTACATAGAGCCAAGTTACATAGAGCCAAGTTACATAGAGCCAAGTTACATAGAGCCAAGTTACATAGAGCCAAGTTACATAGAGCCAAGTTACATAGAGCCAAGTTACATAGAGCCAAGTTACATAGAGCCAAGTTACATAGAGCCAAGTTACATAGAGCCAAGTTACATAGAGCCAAGTTACATAGAGCCAAGTTACATAGAGCCAAGTTACATAGAGCCAAGTTACATAGAGCCAAGTTACATAGAGCCAAGTTACATAGAGCCAAGTTACATAGAGCCAAGTTACATAGAGCCAAGTTACATAGAGCCAAGTTACATAGAGCCAAGTTACATAGAGCCAAGTTACATAGAGCCAAGTTACATAGAGCCAAGTTACATAGAGCCAAGTTACATAGAGCCAAGTTACATAGAGCCAAGTTACATAGAGCCAAGTTACATAGAGCCAAGTTACATAGAGCCAAGTTTACATAGAGCCAAGTTACATAGAGCCAAGTTACATAGAGCCAAGTTACATAGAGCCAAGTTACATAGAGCCAAGTTACATAGAGCCAAGTTACATAGAGCCAAGTTACATAGAGCCAAGTTACATAGAGCCAAGTTACATAGAGCCAAGTTACATAGAGCCAAGAGAGCCAAGTTACATAGAGCCAAGTTACATAGAGCCAAGTTACATAGAGCCAAGTTACATAGAGCCAAGTTACATAGAGCCAAGTTACATAGAGCCAAGTTACATAGAGCCAAGTTACATAGAGCCAAGTTACATAGAGCCAAGTTACATAGAGCCAAGTTACATAGAGCCAAGTTACATAGAGCCAAGTTACATAGAGCCAAGTTACATAGAGCCAAGTTACATAGAGCCAAGTTACATAGAGCCAAGGTAGAGCTTAGAGCTTCCGCGTTAGCAGCTATGTAAGTTAGTTTAGGTTTCTAAGGCGCCGGGGCGGGAGTTTGATCGTCGCTCGGGATTGCGACCCTCTGCGGAGATTCGCGCGGTCGAGGTTCAAAAACTGGGGACTTTTTACGATTTTTAGCATGCGCGCGCAACCCTCTGCGGAGATTCGCGTGGTCGAGGTGAAAAAACTGGGGACTTTTTATGATTTTTAGCATGCCCGCGCGACCCTCTGCGGAGATTCGTGTAGTCGAGGTTCAAACTGAGGACTTTTTACGATTTCTGCTGGCCGCGCGCGACCCTCTGCGGAGATTTGCGTGGTCGAGGTTCAAAAACTGCGGACTTTTTACGATTTTTAGCATGCGCGCGCGACCCTCTGCGGAGATTCGCGACGATTTCTGCGGTGCGCGCGCAACCCTCTGCGGAGATTCGCGTGGTCGAGGTTGAAAAATTGAGGACTTTTTACGATTTCTGCGGTGCGCGCGCGACCATCTGCGGAGATCGTGCGCGTCGAAGCGCTCTCGCTGCGGCGCCGTGCGAATTTGTCTTAGTCTCGGCGAACCCTCTGCGGAGATTGTGCGTGTCCAAGCGCTCTCGCTGTGGCGCCGTGCAATATTCTTGCTCGCGAAACGGCCTTTGGAAGTTGTCTCGTGGTTTGCGCGCCTGCTTTCGCAATCCCGCCGTCGCGGGTTCGATTCCCCCCTGTAGTGTGCGGAGCGTGCTCCCGCAGCTCAGGCTGGAAAATCGCAACTTTTAAGTACAAACGTAGTACGCGGAGCACACCCCCGCAGCCGGCTTGAAAATCGCAACTTTTAAGTACAAACGTGGTACGCGGAGCGTGCTCCTGCAGCTCCGGGTGGAAAATCGCAATTTTTAAGTACAGACGTAGTATGCGGAGCGTGCTCCCGCAGCTCAGGCTGGAAAATCGCAACTTTTAAGTACAAACGTAGTACGCGGAGCACACCCCCGCAGCTCCGGCTGGAAAATCGCAACTTTTAAGTACAGACGTAGTACGCGGAGCACACCCCGCAGCTCCGGCAGCACTTGCACGGAGCAACTTGCGCAGAGTCACTTGCGCAGAGCAACTTGCGCAGAGCAAGTTGCACAGAGCAATTGTACAAAGCACTTGCGCAGAGCAACTTGCACAGACCAACTTGCACAGAGCACATGCGCAAAGCGCTTGCACGGAGCAACTGGCGCAGAGCCCTTGCGCAGAGCAACTTGCACAGAGCAGGCGCAGAGCAACTTGCACAGACCAACTTGCGCAGAGCACATGCGCAAAGCGCTTGCGCGGAGCAACTGGCGCAGAGCACTTGCGCAGAGCAACTTGCTCAGAGCACTTGCGCAGAGCAACTTGCACAGAGCACTTGCGCGCAGCAGCTTGCAGAGAGCAACTTGCGCGCAGCAGCCTGGAACAATGCAGCTTGCGCAGACCACTTTCGTGAGAAATCGCGCGGCGCAGTTCGAGAGGAAAGTAGGATGATGAGATGGAGCTCTCATGTGACCATACACACTGAGCATCGCCGCGCGCAGACACGCTCGCCGCAGCGATGTAAAAAGGTGTCTCCCGGCTGGATGAGCACCTGTGGAAAAATGCTTTCGGGCCAATCGTCCTCTAGTTTTTTTGTCACTACCGCCGTGTGCGTGTGCGTTGGCAGACTTCTTCTTGCTGGGTTCAGCTCGGTTTGTCTTCGCTCCCGGCTCCGTCTTCTAACCCCCAGTTCAACTGCCAAACCCCGCTTGGCGATGGCAAAGGCTGTGGTCAGCGTGCCAAACTGCAGCTGCGACATGCCAAAGTGCTGGATCAAGGTGGGGCCCATCCTGGCAAAACTTGCGGCCCGTGCTCCGTGCCCAGGTATGCAGGGGTGGGCTGTGCGGTTTGGCAAACGGTTTGGCAAATTCTGTCGAGTGTTGGCCTGTCCCTGGCCCCAGCCCCAATTCCCAGCCGGCAGGGCGGAAAAGTGACTGAGAAGCCCGAGAAGGCGACGCCTGGATTTGCATTCCGCGTGTTGCTGTCCAGAGTGGCCCAACACACGCAGCCGCGCCTATTGCAGCAGCCAGCGCATACCTTAGCAAGCTGCATTGGATCAAGAAGTGAGTGCCAAGCGCAAAGGAAAAGACCGCCTCAACTCCCACGCAAGCTAGGAGGCCATGACCAACACATGTTTTTCCGAACGCCCCGCATGCCATATGCAGGCAAGTGGGCTGCTCCATTGGTTCCAGCATTTGGGGAAGTGCAAACCAAACCCATGGGGGTCCCAACCTCCACTGTTGGCACCGCGCAAAAAGGTTTCGCAAAGGCTGGGCCGAGCGGCGCGCGGGGATCGACGGGGGAGGCCATCGACAACACAGCCTTCTCGAACTCGGGGAAACTCAGCGCTCCGTCCTTGCCGCGGTCGTACCTCCAGCTCTCTGTCTTAAATTTAAGACTGGCATCAGTACTCCAGATCAGCCCCAAAAGCCAAGGTTATCCGCCGACATTGCTCGGCGTGTCGGATACTAACTAGAGGATAGAGGATAACCCCCCCCCTAACCCCCCCCCGCCCGACGTCTATTACGTAGGTTTTTGGGGGGGGGGGGGGTCCCCCACGTACCGCGCGGCAATTTGATGACGTTCCACTAAACGTAGTCTTCGGGGAGCCGGTGTCGCAAAACAGGGGTCCCAGGCTCGATTCCCCCTGCCGGCTTTCTTGCTGGCTTGGGCTTCCTGCATCCTTTTGCCGAAAATCTGGAAAAACTCAATGTTTTTGGACGTCCTCTTTGCGAAAACGCTGGAAAAACCGTGTGTTTTTGCGGGAAATACATACATGCATGAATGCATGCATGCATACAGACATACATGCATGCATACATACATACAGACATACATGCATACATACATACATACCTACCTACCTACCTACCTACCTACCTACATACATACATACATACATACATTACATACATACATACATACATACATACATTACATTACATTACATTACATTACATTACATTACATTACATTACATTACATTACATTACATTACATTACATTACATACATTACATTACATTACATTACATTACATTACATTACATACATTACATTACATACATACATACATACATACATTACATTACATACATACATACATACATATACATTACATTACATTACATACATTACATTACATTACATTACATTACATTACATACATTACATTACATTACATTACATTACATTACATTACATTACATTACATTACATTACATACATTACATTACATTACATTACATTACATTACATTACATTACATTACATTACATTACATTACATTACATTACATTACATTACATTACATTACATTACATTACATTACATTACATTACATTACATTACATTACATTACATTACATTACATTACATTACATACATTACATTACATTACATTACATTACATTACATTACATTACATACATACATACATTACATTACATTACATTACATTACATACATACATTACATTACATTACATTACATTACATTACATTACATTACATTACATTACATTACATTACATTACATTACATTACATTACATTACATTACATTACATTACATTACATTACATTACATTACATACACTACATTACACTACATTACATACATACATACATACATTACATTACATACATACATACATACATACATACATACATACATGCATGCATGCATACATACATACTTATGTACATCCATGCATACATACGAGAGAGGGAGATTGGGGAGAGAGAGGCTTGGGGGGATGGGGAGGATGGGAGCAGAGGGAGGGAGAGAGGACGACAGAACACACAAGGGAGACAAGGAAGAGAGGAAGAAGGAGAAAAGGGAGAGGACAATGTCGGCGGACTGAGCCGGAGGCTCTAAAGTATAAGGGTTAGATCAGCCTGGGATTGAAGTCCGTGCCTCTGCAGCAGCGCAGACACGGCCCGGTCCAACTCCTTGTCTGCTGCACAGCGGCCCTTCACCTTCGCGCAGTGTGGATGGCATCTTCAAGCTATCACAAAGCGGGTGCTTGAACCTTAGCACCGCATCTGCGCCTGAACGCATGAACCTGTGCTTGTGCCATGAATCTGGCGGCGGCCAAGCCAAGTGCAGACTACCTTTTTTCCGGCATCTCGAGAGCTTCAATTCCAAAAAGATCGCTGGCCACGTCTTCGAAAGCGTACCACGCCCGAAAGCTGCGAGGCCCAGACTGATGGCGATGCACTTCCCGCAAGCGCCTAAGCCAAGAGCGGCTCCTGGATAGGTGGGCTCGAACGCATGGCGAGTGCAGCCAGGGCCGCCAAAATTGCAAGAGATGCCACCAGGGTCAAGCCGGTCAAACCGATGGAGCTCTGCCAAGTCTACGAGGAGCTTCTCAATTAAGATGAGAAGCCAGCTCGGCCCTTGGTGTGTCGCGAGAGACGAGGCTTGTGGCTAAAGATTCCGGCTTGATCTTGATATCGTCACACAGACTCGCATCGCACTGCATGTCCGATTGCACCTGCTTGCACCCACCCTCGCGCAAGCACTGCGGGGCAACTCGGTTGAGAATGGCGCTGCCGCAAGGTCCCGCCAGGCAGTCAAGACTGACCAGGCCAGCAAAGTCACGAGACACTTCCTGTTCGCAGGCAAGCGTTGCCAACGCTAGATCAGCAAAGGCAGATTCATGCGGATCAGCAAAGTCAGAACACTCCATGGCGTCGGCTTGAATAGTTCACACCATTGCGAGAAGCACAATCATGCTGACACGCGAGAGACGTGCGTTCCTCACGAAAGCTTGACTAGCAAGGCTGCTGGGTGCATGGAAGCCCACCAAATGCTGATGCCAGAACAATAGAACGATTCGCTCTAGGGCCCTGTCGCTCGGTGTAAAATAGCAGTCCCATAGAAACACCTTCCCTGCCGCAGGTCCCTGCCGCAGGTCCCTGCCTCCAAATGAACGCCACCCCCCCCAGTGGGCCTCTGCCATCAGCAGCCGGAGCTCGTTGGCACAAAGGGTGCCTGGCAAGCGGGATACGTCCGCCGGGACCAGAAGGGAAGCCTAACAGAAAATGAAAGCAAGTCCGCCACAGCACTAATCGCAAAATAAGCGAGAAAAAAAATAAGAAAACAAAACGCAATGCAAACGGAAGAAGTAATGCCAACTGACAGCTTGCAGTCACAAACCGTTCGAAATGTGGACGGCGGGACTTCCGTGGATGCTGCAACCAAGTGCTTCAGACTCTTTCACAGCAGCTCCGGAGAGCAAAGCCGAATCAGTAGTGAACGCTGATTTTCCACTCGCCCACAAGCCCCGCCTGACTTGTCAATGTCCAGGCGCTCAAAGGCTCGTTTGAGCTCCTGAGGCGAAACCTGTTGACCTCTTGACATCGAGTAGCGTGTGAGAGCCCCTGATAACTTCAAGAAGCTTCAGATCGCTGGAGACTTTCATGTGCAATCTGTACAATCTGGCTGTCCAAGATGGAACCTGGTAGATGGAAACATGGACTACAATTCAAAACCTGCGGCTTTTGGTGGTCTAATTCTGACCCATTCCCATCTCAAGATTTCAGGCTTGCAGAGCTCAAGACTGGAGACCCTGCCTCTGTTTGAGAGCTCGCAACTTGCAGTGCCTGGATGAAGTTCCGGGGAGGAATGATCATCGCCAGCTCCTGAGCTGTTCGTTTCTCTCTCCTTTGAAATGAGCTGCGCTTGGCTGCTAGTCAACTCCTGTCCTCATTGCTCAAGACCACCGAGTGCTGATCGTCCTCGATCGGAGCCTGAAACAAATCTCTCCCGCGCCGCGTGCACAGGTATGCGATTCACAGGTAGGTTGAGGCCGCAATCCTCAGATGGCCCCTTGCCGAAGCAACCCCCAGCCTGGAACCGAGGCCTTGACAGGTGGGCCAGGGGTGCCCGCGCCACCCGCGCCGCCCGGGGCGGGATCTGTGGGGTGGCCCGGAGGGCCTGGAGGGGGGCCGGCCGTGCCCTCGCCAGCTGCGCGCAGCGCGCGCGCAACATGGGCGCCCAAACGGCGCGCGGAACGCCGGAACGGCGCTCAGCGACCGGATCGGAGGCCAATTGGCCAAGTCTCGAGTGAACTGTCGAGGTGTGGGTAGTTCTGGCTATAGTGCTGGTCTGGCCGCTGCTGTCGGCACTGCTAAGGTTGGCGCTGGTTCTATTACCACGTCTGGTCTTCGCACACCATAAACCCCAAAGCTGCTGCAAAAAGGACTGCTGGGTGGAAAAGCTTAGTTGTGGCATGTTGTGGCTGAGGCCACTGACTTGTTTGGAGTGGAATGGGCACATTTCCGGAGCCCAATGCTGAGCCAAATGCAGCGCGGAATGGGTGGAACAAATCAGCATATTCAGGATTCAACCCATGCAGCCCATGCACAGCCCATGCACATGATGCGAACCCTCGGCCTGGCTTGGCAGCTGTTTTCTCCCTTCACACGGTATGATTGAGGCTCCTCCTCAACCTTGGCTCGGCGTTGGACCCGGACCGGACCCTCGCGCCTCGCGTCGGCTGTCTCTCGGTGTCTGGCAGAGCAGCGGCCCCAGCGGTCTTGGCCACCAGCAAGGTCTCGTGCCAGGCAAAGCGCAGCGCGTAGGTCCTGTCCAGGCCGGAGGACCTGCCCCGCATGGTGTGACGGCCCGTGTGCCCACAAGACGTTAGACGTTAGACCCATCGCAAGCGGAAATCAGAAAAGCGCAAAAAGCGAAGGCTGAGACTTTGACAAACAGGAAGCTCCCTGCGAGCACGTTGCCTCATGTCACCTCTCTCGTGCCTCAGCCACTGCCGCCAAGCGTTGGGGGGCGGCCGAAATCGGCCATCCGGCAGCTGCAGCTGGCGCATTCCAAAGATTTCGTGCCATCCGCATCACAAACAATTGCAAATCATTGCAAATCATTGCGAATATGTTCTTAATCTCCAATTTCATTGCGAGCGCACGGTCCATCGGATCCATCGCAAGCTGTCCCTGGCCTGGGACTCTGTCCTCAGCACGGCGAGCTGCACATGCCCGCGGCGCAGCAGCTGCTGCGCACCTGGCCAAGGCTCGAGTCACGTGCCATGCCATGAGACGCCGGTGCCTTGCAGCAGGCCGAGCTCGTTGCCATCGGTGTGGATCTTGAGGACCAGCGCATCTGGACCACGCGGGCCAAACGAACAGAAGCAAAGGGCTCGGCCCATCGGCCCATGCCCTCACCAGAGATCGAGGTTTTAAAGGCCGACGAGAGCTCTAGACTTTCAAGAGCTCCCAAAGTTGCCAAGTCAGCCTGCCTTGGCTGTCGCCCAGGATCGAATCCAAAGATCTGGGGCCGTCTGGGGTGATTTCCATATGGTTGACGGACATCTCCTGACGCCCGCATAGCACGAGGTGGTGTGCGCGGTCAGTGGCAGTTTCCGAACAAGACCCAGAAACTCGGTCTGCATCTCCACTGCAAATCAATGGCCTGTGGAACACTTCTGAGCCTAACAAAATGGGGCATACCAAGTCTTGGGACCCATAAATTGGGGGGGCTAACCGACCAGCCAAGCAGACGTTTCGTGTCCTGCGACAGACCGTTGAGCTGCAGCGTAGCCATAGCCAGGCGGACCCACAGCTCGTTGGACCTTGAGTTCCGAAGAGAAATTCAGTGATTCAACAGTTTGGGGAAACTAGGGAGAGATCAGAAACTTTTCCCAATCCATCCCTTTTGGCGCATCTTTTGTTTCCGGCTTGTCTTCTCGCCTTTAGGATCTGAGATATCTCTCACCTCCAATCACTTATCAGCCTACATTCATGCCTTAGGTCACAACTGGAGGTGAGTGAAGGCTCACTCCAGCGGATGGACTTCTTCTTTCTACATTCTGAATATATGATTCTAATTCGACTTCTTTACCCCTCTTTCCTCATCTCTTCCTTCATCAGCTTCCAAGAGTATGAAAAGGATAGGACACGGGATGCTGCCTTCGCTTCTTCCTCCCTGCCTGCCTGCCTGCATCACCCTCCCCCCTTTCAATCTAGCACTGTCATGCGCTCTTTAAAACTACTGGTTTATGCCGAATATCTGTTTTGGATGCCTATCCCGAATCCCCCTCCCCCCTCCCCCCAGATGCAGCTGGGCGGCTCAAAAGCCTTGCACCAGCCGCGGCCGTGTCGGAGCAGACTCCAGAGACAGCAATCCCCCAACATGCTGCCCACATCCACCACCTAAACTCACGGATGGAATGCGACAAAACGTGTCGAAAACATGCGACACGAGCTATCTCTGCTGGGATGCAGGCCCTGAAAAAATAAAACTGTGCTCGAATCACGGAGTGACAGCCAAAGGGCACCAGCGACTGTTGGGGCTGGAGACCAAACACGTGAGGGTTCTCAATGAGCCCAGCTTGCTTGGATCCACCCTTTGGCATTGCCATGCCACGTTCACTCGCACCCCGGGCAAGAACTCCAGGAGGGTGTCCACGGCATTCTGGCACAGCCGGCTCTTGGCTCTTGGTCCAAAGGCTTGCAACAAAGTCCCCGCGCCCCGATGCGCCCAATGCCCTGTCCTGGAAGACCAGGCTGCAATGCGGCAGGCCGGTCGAGCGCACATTGTCACCCACAAAGCCTCATGAGTCGTGAGATGCTTGCGCTCATGAAAAGCGTGAATAAGGCTGAGAGGCCAAATGTCCCAGGACGTCGAGCACGAGGGACCAGCAACTTGCCTGCACCAAAGGCATTCGTTAAAAAAGGGAAGTCCAAATGCGCAACTTGGCATGGCATTCTCGAAAAACAGTGCCTGTGATCTCTCGGGGCCGGTGGTGCCACCAGAAGAAGCTTTGATGCAGTGGCGAGGGCAAGACTTGAACCTGCACCTGCCGGTAAGCAGGTCATTCGGCAGCTGGGCCTTTCTCACAACTTACTCACAACAAATGAAAGGATAAAATGATTGTCCTCGGTTCTCTTGCATGATTTGGCATGTGGCCGACTCGTTCAAAGGGCAACCGTTCAAAAATACGATTTATTTGGCGAAGGGCCGATCCGCTCAGAGCAAGAAATATTCTTGGACCTGTCTGATTCAACGCAGACGCAGCCAGCGCCTCCGCCGGAGTTTGAAGCCAATCCACAGCATGAAACACTGGCCAAGGCCACTTGAAGAACCTCAGACGTTGCGCTTGGGAATGGTGCATAGCGGATACTGCGATCGATGCCGGCAAAGTAAATCCTTTTGGTGCCGGTGACTTTACCGCGGGACTTCTGCACCGAGTCCAAGACAAGCGGCTCCACAACACTCTCCATGGGCGCTCGGCAGCTCCGCAGGTCCGTCTGCGCCATGCGCAGGAAGTCCTGGAGAATCGCAGTCACTTTGGATTCCGGCAATATCCGGAAATGTCGGACACGACCCTGCACGACACATCTCTCTCTATCGCCATAGACGTCGCCTCCTGTGGCAGCGGCAGGGCCATGCTCTTGGAGCCGTCTGCCACCAGCAGCGTCCCGAGCACCGTCCGCGCGGAGCAGTTGCCGCGCTCCTCCGCCAGGGCCACCCAGCGAGAAAACCGGGCCCGGTCTGGGCCCAGGTAAGAAATCACCTGGCCGTCCCCGCTCCGCCCTCTCCCTCTCCGTCCCCTTCAGTTATCACACTTCCCACAAGCAGCATGTATTGAGTCTAGTTTCGGCCCGCTGCAACTGATGGTGAGCCACGGTATAGCAGGAGAGATATGAAACATGCAGCTTGGGAACAGCGCCTCTTCCTGAAGATTCTGAGGCCGCAGAACTTGCGCCAGGTCTATCCTGGTGAGTGTCAAAGGACAAGATAGCTCACCGTGTGAATCAACCTCAAGCAATGTCATATCGCGATGCGTCTGTGCTAGGCTCTCAGCTTCCACAATCCAAAGATGAAAACAGCATGGTCCGAAATGGCACACTCAATGGAGTTCCTGTGTCATGAAAAAAATGCGCCTGCAACAGGATTTGTTCAGCCACTCCCAAGGCTTGAAGCTGGCATGGCTGAGTCGTGTCTTCCTAGGAATGCATTTGGAAGCCTAGCCTAGCCGCAGTCTGACTTGGCATCAAGGTATCAAGCGACCCGACAAGAGGCTCCTGCAACATGGCCTGGCGACTTTGCCCTCGTGAAATCGCTGATTCACAATCGATGAGTTCATCTCTTGGGGTCCAATGAGTTCAGCACTTGGTTGACAAAATCCGCAAGTGCTGAGTTCTTGCAAGCCTCAGCAAGCCTTCTGTGCCACGTGGGCATCTCCACCCATTCCTCCGTCAAAGGAGGCGCATGCTTCCTGGGAGTCATGCACAAGAAATGCGACAAAGGAGGCGAGCAGGAGCTTTGCTCTTGGCAGCAAGACCCGCGAATAATATATCACCTTGCCTCATGTGCCTCCTCGTTTCCCCTGAAACATCTCATGGCGCATAAAGCGCTCTTCCCGTCTGTGGCTGAGCCGCGAAGTCCTGCCCCTGGCGACGAGTCGAGTCGACTCGCCCAGGCTTCGCCTGAGCTGGGACTCGTCTGTCGGGAACTTGCTGCCGGTGAGCAACGTGGCCAGCGACGCCAGTACTGCGAAGATCGGCCAACCAGAGCTCACCATGTCCTGAGTCGGGCAAAAACCTCGTCGGCACACCAAAACCAACTACCAAATCTTGTTGGACCGCAGTAAGCGTGACCAAAGGAAGCTTAGAAGGAACTTGCGCGCTACGGGCACAAGTTGAAAGGCCCGTGTGCACACAAATAAGAAGACGAAGAGTAAATTCATGCGAGACCGCAAAGGTGGGCGTGCGGCGGGGAATGGAAATCGCAAAAAACAGTGCTGAAAGCTACCTCGGTCGCGGCGCCTGACGGACGACGGTTTTGGAGTGGGCGGACCCGGGCCCATTGAATGGCATGGACGCGCTTTCAAGCTCAGGTACAGCTTGTATGGGATGCGCCGCTGTTGGATTGGCGATGAGATTGCGTGGCAGGCGCAACACTTTCGCAGCCTAAGGTGTATATTTCGTGGCAAGCACGGAACTTTTGTAGACTCAGGCGCAGATTGGCGCGGCATTTGGGCAATGCTGGCACGGATGCGTCGCAAATCCCATTGGCACAGGCGTGCAAACTGGCACATATACATGTCTTGGCATGCGTAGCAATTTCGCCTGGAATATCTGCAAGTCGGCAGGAACGTGTGTGGCGTGTGTCTTGCATGCAAGAAGGTGCTGTCACCGTGCTACGCTGTCATGGCAGACGGAGGTAGGTAGGTGGGTAGGTAGGTGGGTGGGTGGGTGGGTGGGTGGGTGGAAGGATGGAAGGAGCTGGCTGGCTGGCTGGCTGGCTGGATGGATGGATGGATGGATAGAGAGAGATACATATATGTTGACAGAAAGAAATAAAGAAAGAAAATAAATACGTACAAAAGGAAAGACAGAAAGAAAGACTGACATAAAGAAAGAAAGAAACAAAGACAGATAAGATGATAAGACAAAACAAGAAGAAAGGAAGATAATGCAAAGAAGAAACAAAGGAAAAAGAACAGACAATAAAATAAAAGAAAAGAAAATAATGCAAGAAAGAAAAGAAAGACATAATGAATGAATGGAAAGAAAGAAAGAAAGACATATTGAAAGAATGGAAGATAAGAAAAAAAAGACAGAAAGACAGAAAGAAAAGAAAGGAGCAAACGAAAATAAAGAATGCAAGGACACAGCAAATGAAAGATGATCAACAGCAAGAATGGAAAGAAGAAAGAAGAACTGTAGTTCTTACATGATTGAAACGCCCGCCCACCGGCTTAGCTGGCTCTACTGGTAACTGGAACCCTTTTGGCATACCCCCAAAGCTTATTTTGTGCCGTGGTCAAACCTCCACACCTGCAAGGAATCGTAAAGGAGTTAAATCTCCATGCAAAAACGTGGCAGCCTCCATGCAGCACAATGTATGAGCTTTCCCTACAAGAGTTTGTTTACGTCGAAAAAACTGGAAAGTGGACCTTCGGAAAATCCCCGGAAAGCGGACTTGTGCGGACGTCTCAACATGGCATCGAGTCCCAGTCTCAGCTCAGGATCATACCAGGTGATCTCATTCTCCAAGAACAGCAGGTTGTCAATCTTTGCCCTCTGCCACCCACTCGTGCACAGACGACACACCGTGCCACGTCCGTGCACAAACGAGATGCAGACGAGATGCAGACGAGTCACTGTGTTCCCTGCCCTTCCTCAACCAGATGCAACCAGATGCAACCAGGCTACATCGTATCCCATAGCGCGTAGGTCACAAGATTCCTGGTTGCCTCGAGAAAAGCCCTCGAATTCATGCCTTCATGCCTTCGTAGGGCATCGAGGGCATCGAGGGCATTGGCGGAAAAGGCAGATGCAAGGAGGCAATGCCAAAAATTTGGAAAGGGTCTTGTTCGCTTCTGGCTATGCCGATGGCCTTGACAGTACAGTTCGAAGCGAGGGCTTCGGACAGATTCGGCTGTGTCTGCATCTGAGCAGCTGTCTCCAGCTGTGGCCCCAACAATGTGGCCAAGATCTCCTTGGGAGTTGTCAGCAGCACTGCACTTCGCAGCGTCACCTGTCCAAATGCGGGTTGGCGAGCGGTCACAGTCACGACACAGCATTCCGACAAGTTACAGAAAGGATGGAGAAATTGAGTAAGTTCAGATTGAGGCAAGCGATTGCGTCTTTCCTGAACGCAGATCTCTGACTCTTTGCCAACCTGCCCTGGGTCCGCCTCACCCAGCGGGCACTGCGCGCACTCCAGGCTTTGGCACGCTGTGGCACCAAAGCCTGAGAAGTAGGCTGACCTTGGAGCGAACGGGATATCTTCAAGCCGGTCACAATGGTCACAGATAAAATTGTCCGAAAGTGCCAGGCTCAGGGTCGTTCAGCACATTGGAATTCTGTTGATTTGCTTTGTGTTTGCTTTTTTTTGGTCTTGGAAAGGGGGAAGCGCTGCAAGAAATTTCTGAATTGCCCGGCCTCGCCAGTGCAGAGTGCTCCGTGAGCGCCCAGCCGGCCGCCAAAGCGGGCCGGAGCAGCGACTGCCGCGCCTGGCGCACGGGCAGCGGCCAGGCCTGCAAGCGGCCGGCGGCGGCCAGGAGCTCTATGTGTCTCGCGGTGCAACGCGACGCGCGACACGCGCGACACGCAATGCCTCGTCTGCAAGGATACGGATGTGCTGCTGCAGGTTCTCTCTAAGATCCTCCCAGTGTCTCACACGGCTTGTCACCGGGCAGAAGAAGCCTTGGGTAGAGAAACCAAAAGGCAACGTGCACAATGCCAATCTGAAGGTCTGACCCTCGGCCGGGCGGCTCAGCCCAGTGCAGCGCAGCCAGTCCAGGCGCAGCGGCGGCAGCGCCATGAAACATCGGTTCGGGCGAAGCGCGAGGCGCGAGGCGCGAGGCGCGAGGCGCGAGGCGCGAGGCGCGAAGCGCCTCCCAAGCCTCGAGGCTCTGCTCGCTCTGCTCGCTCTGCTCGGTTTCGCTTTGCTTTCGCTCGCGGTTGTGGCCGCGTCCGGCGGAATGGTGCCGTGTCTGCATGTGCGCTGCTTTGGCGCTTCGGCTACCTATGAGACCAACGGCCAAACAACTCCAGGGGAGAGGCCAAAAGGCTGCGTCCATGCCCCATCTTGTCCCGAAACAAGTGGCTGCCTTTTTGACTATGTCGCCTCTTTTTCCTCCGCACTAACATGAGATGACAAAGCTCCATCCCATCGGGGCTCTAAGACTCAGCAGCACATGCGTCACGCGCACCTCGCCCCGGGCGCGCAAGCGCGGCCTTCGCCACTTGCCGAGCTTGGCAAAGCATCGGAGTCATCGGAGTCATGCCGGGTTCACCCAGCAGTCCGAGAGACCCTGCCCTCATTGGGCACCGGAATGCAACGGAAGCTAAAGGATGGAAGAGGGTCACAAAGGTGTTGCCTGCTTAATGTATTTGTTCCATGTGTGGCCGAGCTCCGTGCTCAGCACACGAAATAGCATACTGCAACGGAGCCTGCAAAGCCCCAAACGTTCAGCGACAGTGAAAACCCGAAAGGCACGCAAGAGAAAAAGACCGTCGTCTCGAGTCACTCGAGGCCTGCGGTATGGAATTCCCAACGACCGATCTCGAAACACACTTCAGTCCAGTCGTCTACTCTGCACACCATGCACAAAGTGCGACTATGCAGAGCTTGCAGTGGGATAGAAGCGCCCGTGCAAGGATCTATCCGCTCTCTCCAGGCTGCTATCCTAAGGCTTCTTGCAAGCAGAGAGGCGGCTATCCTTGCAAACGGACACACCTTTGCTTAAGTCGCTCCACACCCGCGTTTTGCCGGGAACCTGGTCTAGCCAGGAGTAGGCACATTCCAAACCCGGACCGGCCACACCATCCCAATCCCCAGCTCAGCCAAGCCAAGCCTTCATGAGCGGAGAAAGTCAACAACTCGACGCCAAAGAGGTCAACAACTCCAACAACTCAAAGCCTGTTGGAAATCGAACCGTTTGCAGGATGGGCCTGTCACATTGCAGTGCCTCCCAAAAGTCAAAAGTTGCGACCCACCCTGCTCTTTCAGTTCCAACTCCCCCCCAAGAGCGTGCATCACGAGTCGCCGCCAGCCACCTGAGCCACCTGGCCGAGCTTCAGGGAAGGTACCTCGCTTTGCTTCATGCCTTCATGCCTTCATGCCTTCATGCCTTCTGCCTCTCTCTGCCTCTTTCTGCCTCTTGAAGGATGTGGCCTCAAGCTGCTCGTGTGATAAAGTTTGTTCACACCTGAACCAGCCCACAAGGAACACGCCAGCTGGCTTTTCCTCACTTCAGCAACCCAGCCAAGCGGACTTCGCAGCAGCAACACGCTGAAGGCCTTTCTTTTGCACTCTGCGACGAGGCCTCGTCTTTTGTCTCGGCCCCTTGTTTCGAAGCCAAGAGAAGCACATGCCGCAAGGGCATGCCAAGTCGCGATCCCATCGCGCGCCACGAGCCGCGCAGCCCAAGTGGGGCCTGGCTCTCAGCGAACATTCCGCCTGCGCAAGGCCAAAGGGCCAAAGGTCCCAGTGATGTCTTGCACCCCACAAAGGCGGCAAGGCTATGCTCCCCAATTCCATCACAACCCTCATTAGCAAAGCACGTCTTCGATTCAATGAGTCAATGTGTCGATCCGGTCTGCGCCTGACAAGACCCTCACGTTCTTCCACAAAGCCATCCCGGTCATCCATCACCTGGCTACCACAGAGTGACGCATCTGACACTGTGTGATTCCTGTGCGTTGCTTGCCTTTGGCACTTGGCCAGGCGTTGTCATGACTCAGTCTGTTCCTTTTGAATCTGGAATACCATTGACTCTCAGCCGAACAATGCCCAATCTACGGAAGAGATCCTGATTTGGAGGTGTCTTCGGGCATCATACTCAACTCCGCCACTAAGCCGTGCCTGCCAAAGCTTCCGCACGGCGAAGGGCTGGTCGGCCGGGTCCTCCAGCTTGGCAAAACAAGACTTCGGAGCTCGGAACACGTTGGAGGTCCTCCACGTACGCATAAACCTGAGACCGGCTTCTCAGTTGACATGCCCTATTTGCAAGAGGCTCCCGACGTACGCGCCCTCTTCGCTGCCGGGGCCTTCCTTGATGACCTCACACGCATTCATCCGACAGACTGCTCGACAGTGCGATCACGCAGTGGACCATGAGCCACCCCACCCACGCACCATCAGCCATGTAAAGGACGTGCCGGTTGCCTGGGAAACACACACAACTGCGACTCAGATGCATCCAAAGAACTGCAGACCGAGTCCAAGGGCAGTGTGCGTTCTTAGCTATCTTCGTTCAACCCACCTGTGGATCCAATGAATCGGGCAGAGCCAAGCGCTCCGGCCATTGCAGTACACGGGGCGCCCGTTGGCTTGGAGATCCTCACGCCGTCGGTAGACGCCTGTAGCAAGGTTGAGACATCGGGGAAGCGCTCATGACAGCCCTTCCGGAAGCACCTGAAAGCGGGTTGCAACCCTGCACATCTTGGGGGGGACCCCGCACGAACTTCCCGTGCACTAATGTCCCAAACTGCGGGCCAGCTGGGTGCGCTGACCGTTCAGCTTCTGCGCTTCCGCAGTCGCACGGAAGCTGACAAGCACCTGCCCAGCTGGTCTAAAAAGCTCCATCCCCACAGCTCCCCACAGCTCCCCACAGCTCCCCACAGCTCCCAGGGCCGCAGAGCTCGGAATCGCAACTCGACCACCAGGCAAGCTGCCCGTAGGATCAAGCTCAGGCCTCGTCGATGACCGGAGCGGGAGATGAGCCTGGAGATGAGCCTCCAAGCAATGACTGTGTCCCGAGCTGGATCAAAGTCTCGAACATCCCGCCTGCAGCAGGCAATTTGGCCGAGGTGGCCGGCACTTTGGCCGAAGCTTCAGCAGGAGAGGTGCCCTCGCATCTCAGTCATTCATGCTGAAACCAACCGAGTTGGCTCCCAAACATGTCATTAAGCCTTGGTATGTCACAAGCGCCAACGTGTGCAAAGAGTGTAAAGAGTGTTCCTGCTTTTTGCGCTGGATCTGTTCCAAAGACTGCGCCTTGCGCTGCCGCAAGGCGGCGGACAGGGAGGCGCAGGTCTCCTCAGCCAAAGCTCTTCGATGAACTGGTCTTGACATTCAGAAGGGAAGCAAAATGCGATTCACGAAGCCGCTCTGTTTGGAGCGGCTGGAAAAACGGTTTCCAGTTTGCTTTTGTCTTCCACATCGCTGAGGTGCTGTCAGCAATGCGACCATCCAAGTGGGCACAGGGCTGCAGGTATTGCCTGTCATGTCTCCACGACATCCCGATCTTCGGCTATTTCTGCAACTGGAAAATCCGTGACGGGTCCACTGCGTCAGGTCCCACAGGAAGGTCTTTTGCGTCCTCAAAGGACAGAACATGAGCCAGGGGAAGACATCACTTGGATGATTGGTGCGCTCTTTGGGATTTCTTCACTTTTCTTGCAAGATGGGTTGACGAATCCGGCGCAATGCCATTCACGCATCCCCGCAATCAAAACCCGAGCTGAATTTTCTCCGCTTGGCAATACTCCCTCAAATGACTCTGGCCGACCCATTTCCCTTTGTGGCGCGGAGGAACCTTGCAGCTGGTGCCAGATGGAGTCGGTGAAATGCATCTTCACGGGACGTGGTCACGCGCCAGCGCGGGTCATCGCATGGGCTGGATGTTTGCACAGCGGCATCACCGGCTTCTGCGCTTGCGGACAAGGGCTGCCACTGCTTCAGGGAGCACAAGATGGACGCGGAAATGTCGGGCTGGACGAGTCCCGACTCTCCACCGGCGTGAAGCCTAGGATTCAAAGCAAAGAACTTGTTGGTTTTGAACGGTTCACTGCCCCGTGCCAAGCTTCGACTCGCATTCCGTGCATCGCGTGCACCGGATGCATCCCGTGCGCCGGCAGGAGATTGTCCCGCGACTCCGGCAGCTGCCAGGAGATCGCCGTGCCCAGCGCCACACAGCCGGCAGCCACGAAGAAAGGCCAGCCTGGCCAGGCACTGCGCGCTGCCACTTGGAAGAGTCCCCCGAAGAGCACCTAGCACTCAAGGAGTCCAACAAATCCCAGAAAATGCAGTTTATTTCGGACCAAATGCAAAGAACTCAGAGAAATGTTCATCGGGGTTGCATCAGTGTTTCTTGATTTCCTCACAACCGGCTTCAACTCGACGAGGTGCTGGGGCAAGACCCTCCGCCAACGTCCGGGCGCCGGAGATGACGCCTTGGGCTAAGGCGCCGCTCTGAGGCGCCGCGGCGGCAGCCAAGGCGTTGGCCGTGGGGAACACAGCGAAGGCCAGGAAGCAGCCCAGCGGAGGCAGCAAGGCCTAGCAGAAATCAACCCCAACGGTCCGCTTCCAAACGTCTACTCGAGAGGAATGAATAATAAACTAAAAAACGCAAAACAAATACGCGCAGAACCCAATTGAATAAATACGTACACGAATAGTTGAAGAAACCCATCTAGAAAATGAGCGTGTGATGCGTGCACGCATGTGCGTTGCGATGTGTGTGGTTGTGATGCGACGCAATGCCGCAGAGTTCCTCTCTGTCACTCCCAGCGTGTTTCACAGGAAGGCACGATCAGCTACAGGCTACTGTTTTATCTGTTTTGGATTCGAAGGGCCTTGAGCCCAACGTAGATCAAGCGATCATGATTGTAAGGAGGCCGAGTGTCACGCCAAAGAAGAACACAAACTGACACAAGTTTCTGCAGCAATTCTTGACCTGAAATCCAGACAGCTGCTCTGTCTGAACTGTGGCCTGGAAAGCTGTCGAGCGGATGCACTCTGTTTTCCCAAATGCGATTTGGAGCCTGTACGCCATCGAATCAAATGTTCATGTCAGTGCTCACGCAACGCTCTGGGGATGACTGAGCTCACGAATCACGCTGACATGCTGCCTTCATACCCACAGCGCTCAGAACATTTCGTACGGCGCGCCGTCCACCCGGCTCCTACCTCGGGCTCGCTGTCTGTGCCCTTCCGGGGGCGATGATGCCCTGCTGCACTCTCATGATGAAGAAACGCCACAACCACCTGCATAGGCTCGAGGCTCCAACGCCAACCAAAATGGCCAACGCCAGCACATTCAGTCGCTCTCCTCCTTGCTTCCGTCGGCTCCGACCATGTTGGTAAAAGCCACCACCAAAGCCACGCGGCATGCGTCCTTCAAACCGCTCAAGATCTTCTTGTCACCCTTCTCGCAGAACATGTTCTTCTCGATGTCGTGGAACTCGTCCATGCCGTCGCTGTTGTCCTCATCCACCACGCCTGTCATGAACATCAGGCCACGCAACCTTGCCCTCGACAGTGCCTTCATGCAAATCACTGCTGTTGATGCTTGTGGGAATGGCTGTCGCCCGGATCACTTGTTGCTGAAGCCACATCATGCCCGCATCCAAGCGCCGGGTCCTGCCAATCTCGGCCACGCCGCGGGCCGAACTGCTGTCCGTTCTTCACACAAGGAACGGTAGTCTGACGAATGACCACACATGCTGTAGAAAAGTCCTTCGCTGCGTCCGGCGACGTTGCCATCGAGGAACACCTGGAAGACCGCGACGCTCTTCCTCGAGTTCCGGTCACCCGTGTAGTCACTGTTGCTGACTACTTCCAACATGTCCAGCGGACTTTCCACACTTGCTGGCCTTGCTGAGCCACCCGCAGCACTCCGTCCCCGGGCAGCTTTTCAAATGCTCTCATTACTGGCTTGCGAGAAGGGCGAAAGCCATGCGGAGATCAGAGGAGGCAGCGTCCCATGTAGCTAGAAGGCCTGGTGGCGACCTTGGAGGGAAGAATCACCAACCAAGACAAGAGATGAGTTCGACATCAATGACATCACGGTTGCGCTCCATGGAGACAGTAAAGCTGAAGCCTGGGGCGAGCTGGACTTTGAGGAGTGTGCGATCACATAAATCTGAAGCGGGTAAAAACCCGAGGTGTGGTGCACAAGCCTCGAGAATTGGAAAAGGTAAACAATACTTGCTCGGCTTCAGGTTCTTGAACATAAGGCAGCTTCTACTCAGTCCAGTCCCTAGCTCCGAGCCCGTGATACCGCGTCCATTCCAGACACTTCGTTGGCCGGCCGCTTGGCCGCTTGAGCTCAAGTTGCTGTAAAGCGCTTTGCGCTGCAGCCCACACGGCTCAGCCCAGCCCCAGCACCGGTCGCTCAAGTTCGTGTGGTTCTCACGGTGGCGGCGCGCAGCACATGTCAGCGGCAGAATGGTTGGCCTATCATCTTGTGGCCTGCACCATCGTTTTACTTACAATCAGATTACGATTCTAAGTTGTAGAGGCTATTGTGAATGCCTCTTCCAATGCCACTTTCTTTCATAGTTCCAAGCATTGCCAGAACAAATCTCTAACAAGTCAGCTATAAAGAATCCCTTTAACAAGCTCACGAAAGGTGCCCGTGTTCAAAGCCAGCCCCCCCCCCCCCACAATAGCACACAACCCACACTGATGAATCATGGCACCTTCCAGCACTTAAGACAAAACACGAAGTCCTTGCTTTCGTAGACTTGTTGGGCAACACAGGGAGAGGAATGTGACCCTGGAAAAACACACTGACGATGTGCGGACTGAGAGCCTCGCTTACAGCGGGAACGTACCAAGGTACCACTTTACAGGACTAACGCCGCATTTCATGACCGTTCCCTTACAAATGGCAACAACGGTAATTTTGTCGGATGTTAGCTCTTCGGCCTTTGGCTTCATTGCCCTTCGCGCGTCCGACCCTGCCTGCCATGGAGCCCAGATGATGCCAAAGAGGGCTACAGAAACACAGTTCCTGGGCGAGACACGCAGCCTGTATTCGGCACAGCACTGCGTCAAGTCGTCCTACCCCTTCCCAAGAAACAGAAAGAACAACAGCAAAAACATGAAGCGGCAACAAGAGAAAACAAAACTGATTGGTGATGTGATTAGTACAATTTAAGCAGAGCTCAAGACATCGATCGATCACTTACTCTGGAAATGAAAAAGCCGAGGATCGCCACCATGCCCAGGCGCATCAGCGCCAAGTCCCCGAGCCGCGGCTGCAGACGGGGCACCAGCGCCAGCAGCGACACCGAAGCGCTGGCCCCCACCAGTCCCAGCTCACACGCCAGCTGCCAAGGCGACAGGTGGAACCGGGACTCCAAGTACCTCGCACGACTCACGCGACGTGAAGGAGGCCAAAAAAAGCGACAAAGACGAAGAAAGCAGAAAAGCAAGACGCCTCATGGGACAATGAGACCTGAGATGGCTATGGGAAAGGGGCTAACCTCCCACGTATTCGTGTAAGCTCATTAAGATTCTGCGAGGATCTTCCAAGGTTGCACTAAGGTTGCACTCTGGCCCAAGGCACAGAAGCAGCAAGGACACAAGCATCTGCTCGGCCAAGAAGTCGAGGAACACCACCAGCGCCAGCAGTTTCAGCGTTGAGCTCTCCTGGACATGTGACCCTGGCAAGCGAAGGGAGTGACTGCACCGAATGAATGCACTGCATGCACTGCATGCGCTGCATGCGCTGGATGCAACGCACCGCGCTGACGCGCTCGCTCCGATCCTTGAGGACTTCCAGCGCCGGGAGTGACGTGGAGCATCTCCTCGGGGGCGAATTGAGCAGCGCCAGCAGCGCGTTGAGCGAGCCCAGCGCCAGCCCCACACAGCCCAGGCCAGACAGGGACACCGCGGCCCCGCAGGCGGCGCCGACGCCCACGCCGCTGCTCAGGGCGAAGTTCAGCAAAGAGTAGCCTCCAAGAGTGAGCGGAACTAGGAAGGTAAAGCCAGGCAAAAGAGTAAAGCCAGGAAGTGTGGGAGATGGATGAAACGATAAGGAAATTCGGAAAGGGCCCGGTGCCTTCCGTGAGCCTCTCCGGGGTGCGTGCGGGCACCACGGCGAAGCACAGGGACATGGCCGGGCCGCTGAGGCCCAGGAAGGTGTCCACCAGGCTGAAGGCCCAGACCTGCGCGCCCGGCTCGCCCTGTGTGAGGATGGCCAGGAAAGGTGCGCAAGGGATGGCCAGCGAGAGCACCAGCCAGAATTTGAAGTGGCCACCTGGGAGGCTTGGAAAACACCACAAGTCAATAACCAAACAAGCACGAGGTCGTGTCACCCGTTTCCCCCCCAGTCCCCCGCCTTTGTCCACCAGGGCACCCAAGGCAGGTGCGAGCAGTGTGTTGAGCACACCTCAGCACGAGCCCTCCGCGTTCCCATCCACCCGCCATACCACTTCCACACCTTCAGCCAAGCTGCCTTTGATGCTGACCAAAAAGCCTGCAACCAGAAAGGGCTGGTGGAAGGTTGCCTTGCGCCGGGCTCCAACGGCAAACCGACCAGGCCAGCTCTTTCAATCTTTAAAGCCCTTGCCGCCATGCCAGCCTACCGACTACCGGCTCCTGCCTGCTGCAGCTGTGGCAGCTGTGTCACCGGGAGGCCCAGAGTCACGCCCAGCAGCAGCAAGTGCAGCGCTTCATGGCGCAATGCCACCGCGCTGCGCATGGCAAAAGGACAATGAGCTTTAAAGACGAATAAAGTGCGCCTGGGTGCCGTTATGGCGGCCTTCCCTGTGAACAACCCTCAAATTAAGAGCAGGGCCAGGTCGGACAACAACGACAACAACAGCGACGCCAACCAGCGTAACCAAGCAATCACTAAAAAAAAAACATATATATATATATGTTTAGTTATTTATTTATTTGTAAAAAAAAATGGCGTAAATGCGTGAGGCAAAAATTGCGAGTTTTGGCCTGCGTCTATTCCCTGCAGCTCTGTGTTGGTTTTTCCGCTGCCTGCCTTGCACAGCCTTCCTCTTTTCCGCAGAATGGCTGCCAACCCTGTACTGACTCAACTGCTCGACATAGTGGGCATGACCGTGATATGCTGCATGGGTCAGTTGGCTACTTTGAGCCAGGCCAAACTGGTTGAAGACAGGATAGATGCGTCACCATGGTGCGAGAGTGGAGGCGCCCCAAGGCCCAGACTCGTGGAGAGAGGCTTGCACCTGAGCGTTTCATACGAAAGAGGCTGCAGGCAACCCATCGCATTGAAGGTTTACGCTTCCAAGGCACCGTCCAGTTGAAGAGGCGTGCAGCCAATCCTGACGCATTTGAACTCTGTGGGCCAAACTGTCGTGTCTCTGAGCTAAAAAAATGCGTCATAAGTCAACAAATCAGCTTATTCCGAGCAACGGTGTAAATTGAGAAAGACCTCGACCGGAGCTAAGGGTTCTTGTGTGGGGGACTTCTGTTACTTGTGCGCCCCGCCACCCAATTCTCCTGCCAGCGCTTGAGACATAGCCCTCATTTGCCTTTCCAGCACCTGACCACCCCGGGTCCCCGGGTCCCCGAGTCCCGTCACCCACTCCGAGTTCAACCCCATGCGAGACCCTGAAATCGCCACGGCGCCCGGCACCGCGCGCAGTCCGCATCGCCCTCAGCGCTGGCCGCAGGCGCCGCAGGCGCCGGCGCCGGCGCCGTGGCAGCCGGCTCGGGACCGGAGCCTTCGGCCGCCACGGTCTGCGCCAGGGAGTCGCCGTAGCCTGGCCGCCGCAGGTCGAGCTCCATGACGCCCACGACGTCGTGCACGGAGAGGCTACTCTCCTGCAGACCTGCCCGAGCTCAATCCGATCCCTCCTCTTTTTCAGGGTTAAGTGCATGTGACAATGTATATCCCGTGGCTCCCGCCTTGCAGCAACCTCCCCAGCAGCTGGGCTTCATGCTCCGGCAGTGGCCCAGGTGCCCGAGTGGCCGGGAGAACCCACGGGGACCTGGCAAGTCGAGGGCGCGTCATGGACCTCTGGCAACAGAGCCATTTTGACCAGGCCAACTCGTTCTGAATTTGGAATTTGGAAGGCAGTGTTGCTGGAGCCTCTTGAAGAACCATCCGCGGGTACGCCGCACATTCATCTGCTTCTCCCTTGTTTCATCTGTACTTGACGTGCAGGCGTGCAGCTGAGGCCCCGTGCAATGTCTGGGGCAACAGTAAGTCAGCATCCTGCCAAGTTTACGAGAGGTGTAAGTTCACAAGGAGCAATTGCAGGCTTTGCACACATCAATCGATTGAAGTCTGTTCGCCTCTCGGCCTGTTCTGTTTTCTGATTGTCCCTCTCCTTCTGCGCCTGCCGGGCCAGTGCTGGCGCTGGCGGAAAGGGACTCCGCGGCCGCGTCCAGTACCCCGACGCCTGGGAAGCTTAAGAGCTTTCTGGCCGCCCAAGTCTACCCGACTCGACGTGCAAAGTCGAAGTCACAGGCGAAAAACGACAAAAGCGCAAGTCACTCAGTCGGTCCTCGCCAGCAGGGGGTGGCTTGGGTGGTGCCGGGGGCGCCAGCAGTGCACTGGGTGGTGCTGGGGGGGCCGAGGTCAGCAGCTGCACGCTGGCCACCATGGAGCTCACCGAGCTCTTCCTTGCATGACCGAAGCTGCGAAGCTATTCGACTTGCCAATTCTGCCAAGCAGCAGCGTCTCATCAAATGCGGCCGTCATGGTGGGAAATGCCAAATTCAACAAGGTGTGAATCATGAAACTGGCTCAGTTAGTCTACTCATCTACTCTAAAAGCTCCACAAGATGCAGCGTCTGCCCCTACACTCAAGATTCTGCAGAAGACAAGTGCTGTAGCTTGTGCCGTGACTGAAATACGTGCAAAAAACATCGCCATTCTTGAGAGGTAGATATTGCCATTGCTTTGGGCCACGATGCACTGACACACTGTTGCACCGCCAAACATCAGCACTATGTCCATGGAGCTCCAGTCCGACTCCGATTGGATGCGACGGACTCGCCTGCCACCCTTCACTCCGCTTCCCACGTGGCCTGGACACGTTGCAGAAAGTGTGCTCACGCTGGCCACCGTGCCCTGAACCAGCACAAAAAAGCCAAGACGAAAACGAACCGCCAGAAACGAAATGAATCACGCTGCATGCTCCCCGGGTCCCAAAGGTCAACGCCAGCTTAATGGGAAACGAATGCGTCCTCACACTGGACATCCGCAGACCTCGTTGCAAGCAGTCTCACATGCAATATCTGCAGATCACACCACCATTCTTGCTTCTTGCCATGCTCCGCCACACGGCTCTGCTTGGCTCAGAGTGCCAATTGCCCAACGTGATGCATCCTCACCGGACAACTCCCATGAACCTAACGTTTCAATTCTCATCACATGCAGGTTCATCGGAGTTGTCCGGTGAGGATGTGTCACGTCCGCCAAGTGGCATTCTGAGCCAGGCGGTGAAAGGATCGGAGAATGGCAGTTTGAAAGTCATTGTCAGTGCTCATGTGCATCCCGTGTTCCTTCAGGTATGGGACACCACCTGTCGTTTGACATGGAGTCACACAGGCACATCATTCCCAAATAGGAAATCAAGGTAAACTAAGAAAACTGACTTAAACGGTGGATGTCCGATGAGGATACATGGCGTTCTACGTAAAACTTGCTGAGCAGTTTGGGTTGATGGCAACTAGGACCATTGTGGAGGATGGCAAGACGTGAGAAGGGTCGTCTGATTGGCGGACGTTGAGAGCAGACACCGGATGACACCCGTGATCCTTCCTCAAAGGCCCTCCTACAGGCATCATTCTGCCTGCAACGTCCGCCAATCAGACGACCCTTCTCACGTCTTGCCATCCTCCACAATGGTCCTAGTTGCCATCAACCCAAACTGCTCAGCAAGTTTCACGGCGAACGCGATTTATCCTCATCGGACATCTCCAACAAACCTAGTGTTGTGTTGCACAACAAATAGACAAGACGAGCGCCTCATTCGAGCTTTTGGCAACCAACACGGATCTCAAACGTGCAGTATGGAAGGAGTGTCAAATCTCCAACGGTCGAGCAGCACCGAGTTAAACAAGCAGGCAACTGTCGAAATGCAAATCGAGCTCTGCCAACAGTCCAGCTTTGTCGAAATGAAATGCAAAACGACGCAAATCTCCAGCCGGACGTCCCCTCCGACTCGGACACTCGGGCACTCGCGCCTCCGTCTCAGGTTGCTCCTGGCAAGCGTTCCTCCCGCGCCTTATGCCTTGCAGTGCCTTCCGGTGCCTTCCGGTGCCTTCTTACGATCCGAAACTGCCCCAAAGACTCGCAGCGGCCTCTGCATCGACCTTCTCCAGGAGCTGCCGGCTTTCCTGGCTTCGGGTCTCCGGACATTCCTGATACCGAAAGGATGGATCTTCACACGCACTCCTCCAGCAAGAGCTGGCATGCATCCACCTGCTCCTGCAAGCCCGTGCCAAATACAAAAGCACCGCAGCCAAAGAAACAGCAGAAAAGGCTGATTCTGGCTCATTGGCATGAATGCAACACAGCGCCTGATCCAGTGCCTGCCCAGGCAACTTCAGCTGTTGCAGCGCATGAGAATGGCATGAATTGTGATGAAACACTTCTCGGCACTTGCGAGAATTCAGAAATTTGATCAAGTCGGCATGCAGGACAACAACAGACTCAACGCGGATCCGAAGCCAACTCCAGTGACGTCGTGTAGCTCTTGCAGGCATGCCTCCTCCGCCTCGCCTGGCTCGGCCTCTCCGGAGGTACAAACTTATGGCAAGAGGGAGCTTCAATGGACTGCTCCAAATCACTTGCAGAGCGGCTTGGAAATGCGTACGATGAGTTGGCTTTCACGGCTACGCCGGACATCGGAGCTCCCGGCCTGCTCCGGCTCCGCCTGCTCCGGCTCCGCCTGCTCCGCCTGCTCCGCCTGCTCCGCCTGCTCCGGCTCCGCCTGCTCCGCGACCTCGCTGACAGCCCGAATCTCGGGCCCGATCCAAGGCACCTGTTCCCAGGCCTCGGCGGCAACAGCCTCGGCGGCAACTGCCGCGTCGGCCTCCGCTTGCGCAGCGTGTGCTTCCTGCAAAGGGCAAGACACACGCAAGGACCACTGAAAGGCGGCTTTTGCAACATGCCTGCGGCACTGCTGTTGCCGAAAGAAGCCGGCATGGCTGGGTGAAACGTTCACATTGTGGCTCTTGCCGACTCCGAACGTCAAGCATTGGAGTGTGCGCGTAGCATAGACAGGTCAACTGCAGCGAAGGCTGGTCCAACTGGCATCGCATTAACGAGCGCTACGATGTGGGGTGTCACCTCACGGGACCAGCGGCGCACCGCGAGCTCGGAGGCAGCATAAGGCGCGGCGTCCGTCTTGTCGTTCAGCTCCAGCATGAGGTGAACCCCAGGGCACAGCCTGCGGTCAAAGCGCTTGGCAAACGGCTGAATACCTGGAAACTTGCAAACGGAATCACAAGCATCTAAATCCAAGCGGCCCTTCAATCGCGGGATTCTTCCACTCAGCCTTCCCTTTGTGGACCCCCACCAGCCGGTCCGGCAACACATCCTCCTCCGCCAGAGTCTCCCGTGCGAAGCGGCTGGCCTCCTCCTGTGTGGGCATGGGGAAGACCCGAGAGCAGAAGTACCTGGGCCAAAGCGGCCAAACGGAAAAGAAACCACGAAACAAATGACTTCAAATGAATCTATCCGAGGAGATAGCAACACATGGGAATTGCTCTGTGTCAGGCACTGTAGAGAGTACAACTCTCAAGACCTGTCCCAGTCAAGCTAGGACCAACAACCCCGCGAATCAATCAACGTCGATTTTGTCAATCAACGTCGACTTGCCGGAGATTGATAACTTCGTGCTTTCTTCAGCGCACGCTCTGCCGATTTGTTGACCAAGGAAGGCCATCTGAGGATGCGTCGCAATGAAGCCAAGATCCACTGTCACTACCACTCTATGTGCCCAATCCAAGGTACACTTGGGAACCCTGGTTGTCTCCAGGCTTCAGCTGGGTCCGCCAAATACTGGGTCCGCGTCAGAAAACAAAATGTGAATTTATGGCAATGTGGAAGGTGATGCGAACTCTCTAAACAGCGCAAGCAAGGACGGCACGTCGTGCCACGCTTTCAAGGAAACAACAGTGCGTACGAGGCGCACGTCTTCGGGCAATTGATCCGGACGGCTGCCCTTGGTGATCCGCAGCATCGCCCGGATGTCCCGCAGTGAGAAGCCGCCATTTCCCACGCCGTTGGGGCAGGGCGGCACAGGATGTTTCCACGGAGCGCCGATGTACTCATTATCAAGAAACCTCACTTGGGATGCATTTGGTACATTCAGCAGTGAGATACGCATGGTCTGTCTGGCAGTAGAAAACTTTCTTAGAGAACTGCGTCATCCTGGTATTCTATGCTAGATCAAACCAGTGCAGCTCAAAGCGCACCGCATTGCACGGTATTCTTACCTTTCTTACCCGGTTCTTACCCAAAAGTGCAACGGAGTGCTGCCCAAAAGCTCAGGAAGCAGACTACGGGCGCCGTTGCAAATCCAGGTGTCCGCCTGGATGAGCAGAGCCTTTGGGGTCTGCACCAGCTCCCAAAACGCGGGCTGCTCCAGCATTTCGGAGTAAAGCGACTGGTTGAGGTTCTGGTAGAAGTAGGGCTCCGGCATCGGCGTCAGAACGAGAGCCCCTGCCTCGCGCAGCTCGCGCAGAGTGGGCTCTTCTCGCAGGAACTGTTGGTTCTCCTCGCCGTGCAAAATCTGCACCCGGAGCTGGGGGAAGTGGTGCAGGGCGTTCAGAACCACCACCGGCAGCCCCGTGATGGACCGTGTCTCGGGCAACACCACCGAGATCTCAGAGGGATTGAGATCCGAATCATCCCGGCCCGAGTCTCGGCGGTCTCGGCGGTCTCGGCGGTCTCGGCCTCGGTGCACGTCCAGGCCTCTGATTTCCAGCGCGCATCCCAGAGCAAGCCATAGCACTGGCACCAGCCATGTGGACATTGTTCAGTCTCGAGCTGAAATGCACAGCGTGACGTGCGCAACAAGTCTGTCTGAACAGAGGCTCCCTGTCATCCCGTCCACTAGCCGACCGGCCCCCCCAGCCCACTGGCCTCCAAAGCCTCTGCCACCTCGGCATTGATTTTGCGGGACCGTGCAACAAAGCAAATCCCCTAGTCCGAGTCCACAACCTCCGCAGCAGCCATCGCAACCTCCGCAGCAGCCATCGGCTCCACGGGAGCAGCCATCGGCTCCACGGGAGCAGCCATCGGCTCTACCGGAGCCGCCATCGCCTGCACAGGGCCCAAAGGCGCAGGTCGAGACAACGCTGGGCTCGATCTAAAAACCTAAAGAAAAGCCACGCTCAACTCTCGCCTCGGCCGCTTCGGCCTCGAAGGCACCCGCCCCGTCGGCTGCGTCCGCAACGTCTGCCTCGAGCTCAGCTTCTGCCTGCCACTCAAGGCACGCTGACTCGCACCCATCTCGAAGACTTGATCTAGGGCTCCAAGCAGCCCCAAGATATTTGTTGATCGGTAGAATACAGCACAGGCACGCAAACCCTGAAGCCTCCGGCATCTCTTCGTCGTCATTGGCCTGCACACATAAGCATTGCAACCACCTTGCCTGCAGCCCCGCGTCAAGAACTTGGCTGTGGCTCTTTGAGCGCAACCCATTGAGCCAGTCAATCTTCATTGTGTCCCCAAAAGGCATTGGATGTATCGGATGTTGGTGAGTCGTATTCCCTACCCTTGCTCCTGTCGACCCGTCAGTTCTCCAAAGGGCACGACTTCGAACCACAAAAGGAGCCGCCTGTAACAACCCGCAGCTGAGCACAAAGAGCTCGGCGCGCCTTCTCCATCTCCACCTCTTCCATCTTCTCTTCCAGCTTCGCTTCCAGTTTTGCTTCCACTTTCTCTTCCTTCTGCGTCTCCATGTTCTCCTCCTTGGCCTGAAACCCACTAGGCACAAAGTCCCCAGAGGCTGTCCAAAGGGAGATTTCTAACATTTTCAAACCCTAGAAGCTGCGGCCTTCCCAGGCTCCTGCTTCACCTTCTCGGCTTCCTTGCATTGCCAGAAACGCAGAGCACCGTTGCACATCCGTTGCACATCCGTTGCACATGTCGCACGTTGTGGAAGTCCTCTTCCTCCTTTTCTTCTTTGCATCTCGCCACCTGCGCTTGACAAAAGACCTCCAAAAAGGTGCGTGTCAAAGGCATCAACTTTTACTTGCGACAGGTAGTGCTCAATCTCCCTCTCTCCCTCTGTATCGCTGCATATCAAGAAACCCGTAACTTCCTCCCAACGTCCCCCACCTTGGGTGGAGGAAGCTTCATCGAAAACCCGCGCGTCCGCCGCAGGCGCCGGGCCTGGTCGCAACGTGTTAGAGCACAGCTGGCCAGCGACGAAGCTGGCAGTGCATGTTTGGCAGGCCTCGGCCCGACGGCCTGAACGGAGATGCTCCTGTTCGTAGAGGTCCTGCCAAGGCCATGCCAGACTCAAAGTAGACTTCGAGTCTCTGGAAATCCGGGAGAACAATTGCCACACCAGCGGCAGGTCTTTCCCACGTGATGGCTTCTATTGCACTTGGTTCAACATTCTGCCAGCCTTGCTTGCATTGACGCAGCAACACGCCACATCGATTGCCTGGATTCGCTGAAAGCTGTCTTCAGCGCTTTGGCCTTCGACCTGCCAGTACGACCAGCACGTACAATCGACACCGAAAAGCACCAGCATTCGATCTGGAAACTATTTGAGCTTTGGGCACAAACAGCTTAAGATACACAGTGACAGCAATTCGGTGTAGTTTGATTTTGCTTGAAGGTTGGGAAACTCTTGTGGCACCCCGCCTCATAGTCAAGATAACAAAAGCTTTGGCTTGTGTACATCAGCGTGCGCCTTGATCATGAAGTCACGTCTGCAGTCATGGCATGCCATTGATTTGGACATTGTGATGGCTCGAGTTGCACAATCCGGAGAATCCAAAAAGCCCAGTGGATGCCAGTGGATGCCATGTTTGCCTTGATCTGATTGCGCGGCTCTTGAGCTCATTGACCAAGCTTGGACCCCCGGACACATGGCTCGCCACGGCGGCAGCAAAGGGCGACAAAGCCTCTCAGGCTGGAACCAGACGCGCAACCCCGAAGCAGTCCATCCGCCAAACCAGCAAACTCCATCGGACAAGAGGGAAATTTGGGAAAACGGGTTCAGCCACCCTCCCACCCGTTCCGCCTCAGCTCTCGTGTTGTAGCCACCCTCCAAGACAGAGACTACCCGGCCCTGACCTCAGCTGGGCACTTTCATCTCTTGGCGATTGCAGTGCGCCCGAAATCAAACAGTTTGCTGAAGCATGTATGGATTTCCATGTTTGCTTGACGCGTTGCGTGAGGGCAAGCTGCTTGTGTGTTGCGCCGGTGATTGAATGATGCTTCATTCAGCGAAGCTTTTTGCAAGCAGAACTGATTGCCTCAACATGGCACTAAGAATGCATGTGTGGCTGAACCTGAGTAGCAGACACAAGGAAGACTAAATAACAGCAAGATGATTCAGAGAGTTTCGTTGCTGAGAAAGGCTCTTGCACCATGCGATGTTGTAGAAGCTTTGCAGAAAAAGAGGCAGATTCAGATTGTATGATCGAGCTGCCTTTGATGCTGCCCTCACACAAAGTTTGGGAGGGAGGAGTTGCAACTTCTACATTTTGGATGGGCTGAGGTTTGTTTGGGGTGGATTTAGGTTTGGCATGAGGATAAATTGAGAGTGGGGTAAGGGTGGATTGAGTGGATGTGGAATTGGTTTTGGGTTGGGGGTTGATTTCGGTTTTAGGCTGTTGGGGTGGGATGCTCAATTTAGGGTTGAGTTAGAGGTTTGGCGAGCTTGGGATTCGTTTAGGGCTGATTTAGCATAAGTTCCAGAGGTTGGCTTAGAGGAAGCTTAGGGTTGAGGGTTGAGTTTCTCGCGTTGGAGTGGTTTAGGGGTTCGGGCTTGGGTTAGGGTGGGTTTGGCATCTGGAGAATGTGGGTCCAATCTTGGTTTAGGGTGGGTCTGGTATTGTGGTTTAGGATTGGTTGAGGCTTGATTCAGGGTAGGTTTCGTCCTCTTGCAAAGCCACACTCGCAGAAAGGGCAGTTGCAAAACGGATGAATCCTGGTGGACTTGCCAAGTATTCAATGTCTTGCCCTCCCTTGTGAGTTTCTCTTCTGAATGAAGGCAACATTGAAAGGCCTGGCTTCCAAGAAGAACCAAGCACTGGTTGCTCGCTACCAAACTTCCGTTGATCATTGGCCTGCTGCAAATGCTGCAAAAAAAACAAAACGACATCTCAGGAATTAGGAATGGCTCACCCCCGGCTCGTGCACTTCGGGTCGCATACCGCATGCCGGTCGGGAGCCGAAGCCCCTGGCAGCAGCGATTGGCCACAGCCATGAGCTGCTGCGTCGCCCAGATGTAGTCCTGGCGCACAAGAGCTTAACAATTTAACCTGCGGATTCGAAATGCTGAGTTTCGGTGCACTTCAGGACCTTCTGTTGCTGCACTCCTTTGATCGCTAGACCTCTGTTTTCGCTTTGACTTGGTCAGGGAGCAACATGGGAGACTACAACAAGCTGCAAGGATGACAAAAGGGAAGGCATATCGTTCTCAACCATCACGCCTTCTGTCGCATGGCGCAAGAACAAGCAGTCGCCTTGCACCGGACACATGCCACTTCAGGGCTGACAGGGAACAAAGCCAGTCTGAAAACGAGCATGCAAAGGCAAGGGCGGCAAGCTCTACCAACCCGCAAGGCCGTAAGATCGACAGAGTTGTGCCGCTTCGGGTTTGCGCCGTGGCATGGTCTTTCTGCTGAACTCGCCAAACACATTGTTGTTCTCGCTTTTTGCACATGCTCAGCATCCTCATGGCACCATGATGCCGCCCCACCCCTGGTTGTCCTCCTCGCTGAGGTTGCAGCAACCCAACAGGTCGTCCTTGTTGCATCGAATCTCGGGTGATCACACCAGGAGTAGCTTCAAACCTATGATCAGTTGCATCGAAACCTGTGCAAGCCCAAGTCCTCGTGCCCGTCGAAGCCAGCCGAGATGAAAACCAGGTCGGGATCGAACTCCTGGCAATGCCGCGATCTCTTGGCAATTGAGTTGGAAGACCAGCTCCCACTTACAGACTTACAGACTTACAAAAAGGACTTGATATGCAGCGATAGGACTCATTTCGCCTGCAGCTGCGGTAGGACTTGGCGCCTGAGAGCGTCTCCAGACAGTTCGCACCGAATCCACCATTTCATTTAGCCCGAAAAACCGGAGGCCGGAAAGTGCGGAAAGCAGAGAAAGACGGAAAAATGCGGAGAAAATGCCCATACCATCAAAATGATCGAAGCGTCCGAGGGCCCGGCCGCAGGCCAGCACGGAACTCTGCTGAGCCGGCGCCCTTCTGCAGTGGCGCGTTGATTATCCTGCAAAGCGCGAAACAAAGAAAATATCCGCCTTTGAAGACGCATCTGAAAATCAAAAACACAGACACAAGCAAGGGGTTCTCGATGGTTCTGCACGATTCTGCTGAAGTTTGCCAGTGCTTCTCTTCGGTGCCGGTTTGCCCCAAAGACGAAGGCACATAGCTCTTTCCTGCTCTGAGCGCCCTGTGCCAACTCATTTTTACCAAGCCAAAGCCGCTAGTTCCACTTATAGCGGTGCGTAGTGTAATGCCGCACTCCCGCCTGGGATGAAAGCGACTGCATGTCGCACCAGTGCCTGGTGGAATGCTAAGCTAACTCTTTTGCTCGCTCTTAATACCATTGCACCCTAGTACAATTCGCGAATCCGACCACTCCATCAGGATGTGGAGCAATGGCCTGGGTAGAAGCCGCCGCCAAAACCGTGGATCGACCTCAATTTGGAAGCGGCAATCGAGGGCAGCCCATGCGCCAGGCAGCCAAACGATACCAACGAGGCGTTCTGGGCAGCAGGCGCGAAGAAGACGTTCTCCACATCGCTCTCCGCATCGAGCCACGGCCTGAAACAGAAGCACGGCCCTGGCCACTACAAAGAGAGAGAGAGAGAGAGAGAGAGAGAGCGGGAGGGAAAGGAACTTGTTTTGTGGTAGTGAAGTTTCTGCTGCATAAGCAGCAAAGTAGCCTAAATGGGGCCCTCGTCTCACCTACTAGTACCAAAAGGCCTGGCATTGCCTTGGGGTCTTGGGCCCGTTTTGCTTGCGCCCTTGCACAAGCTCCCAATCTCGAGAAGCCGACTTGCAGCTTGGAGGCTTCGTGACATTCAACCTGCGAGCTTTCGCAGTGATCACGTTTGGAACACTCCGCTTGCATGTCCGTGACTTTTACGGCAAAATGCACAACGCAACGTACACTCAATTACCCTTCGACTTGTGCTTGTTCCCTGTGTGTGTCCGCAACTGGCTAGAAGCCACAGATGCTAAAGCATGGCTCAGGTCGGCTTCCGTCCTCAGGGTGAACCCTGCATGGTCCATTTGAGCGGGTCGCTCCTGGCAACGAGACGCACAGCTCCCGTTCCGGCGATGGCATGACTTTAAGACAAATCATCAGCTCATGCATGGATGGTGTGAATGCTGAACCGCTTAATCTGGGCAGAGGTGCCCGCGGCAGCTCGGGCCGGAACCTCATGTTCTTCACCTCAGCGTCAAGCCGCCTTGCATCCAGTTCTCACGTCGCAATAATATGATATCCATATTAATGCACTGTTAAACTTGGAGCAACTGTGTAACCTAGATGCCTGAAGTGTGAGCCTGTGAGTGAAGCGAAGCGCTGTTACTTTTCCTGTAGGCGATGATGTACCAACTACTCCAGCTGTACTAAGGCTCAAGGCCTTGATTGTACAATGCAGCATTCCAGGTGTATTGGGATGCATGTATCTTAACACGCCTCCTCAGGATAATGTATCTCATGCACATTCTCCTGAACTGTTGAAAAAGGTGATGTAGCTGCTGTACACGGAGTGTGTGCTTAGGCAGCGCAACTCCCTTGTGGTTCGTGGTGTCAAAAGCGAGTGTCAAGCAGCTGCTTTCAAGCAGATGTTGTATCAAGCTATTCGACTGTGCCACTCAAGTGCGGAAGATAATTGCTGTTGTGTGGTCCATGATGCGCAATCGATGTTCTAACCGCGTCCATGGCTGCTGCATGTGTAATGAGCTCTTCCCTGCACGTGTTCATCTTGCTGATGTGTTCAGGGTAAAATTCCTGATTCTGCATGTAGCACCACGTGTGGTGATCCTGGTGTCCCCTGATGCGCTCGATGTCTTCGATTGCCTGTGCCCGTACCGACACATTTTCTGATGTCTGCAGGTGGTGAAGTACCGCATCGTGATGATCTGTGCTGTGATGATCTGTGCTGATGCACTTGAGGATCTGTAGGCCCGAGTACTCCATGACCTGTTTCATTGCCGCGTGGATTGTGTCATCATCTGTTGCAGTCTGTAGGTCACTCAAACTGATGAGAGCGTTGTAGTCCCATGCG